ATTCAAATAATGGCCCCGAAACCCTTTGTATGGAACTACGAGCTTTCGTAGACCAATTAGAACTATTATATTTACAAATGCTTGAACAAGAATTTGACATAAATACCCTTTCCGTGCAAATGGAGTTAGAATCAAAACTCCCTCCCCTTATTTTGGAAGAAATTTTTAAGGCTAAGGATGAATATGGAGATGAATGGCAGACTGATCAACTTAGGACAACGCTAAAACAAATATTGAAGCGCAAAGAAGGCATAAAATCATTAAAGGATCAAAAGAAAGAATTGAATATACCAGAAGCAACACGTTTTTCACCCAGATCCCCAAGAAACAATTGGACTAATGAAAGTTCACCGCCTCACACCCCTAATTCCTCATTAACATTTTCTACCACCCGTAACAACATGCCGCCTAGATCAAGATTTCCATGCGTATTTTGTAACCAATTTTCTCACTTCTCGAACGCATGTACACAATATCCCAACCTTCAAACACGTACATCCCGTTTGCGAGAAAAAGGACTGTGTTTTAAATGTTTTAAAAATAACCACCAATCAATAAATTGTCCCAGTCCTATTAAATGCAGTTTCTGTCAAAATAATCATCCAAGAGCTATTTGTCGAGCTTTATTTAATTCACCTCAAAATAACACAAACACCTTTAATAATTCACGGTACAATACCAATAATTCAAATCGTACCAATCCACAATTTCATTATCAAACTAATTATTCACAACCCCAACCTTCACAAATACCATCACTATTTGATAGCACACCTTCACAAAATTTTAATGAATTTCCCTCATGTCAAAATCATTCAAAATATAAAAATGAACAAAAAAAGCCATCACCAAACCCAGAAACAAAAACTATTGGCCCCGCCCAAATAAATACTTCATCACGGTATGTTTACCCTCGAAAACCAAATTCAAGCCCACCGATACTGCTTAAATGTATTAGAGTAGAGTTCTTCAATCCGACTTACCCGTCGAAACGTAGTACAGGCTTTTTAATGTTAGATGATGCTAGTACCCACTCCTATATACAAAAGTCCGAAGCAATTTCATTAGGATTAAACATGAAACCCACCACAGTCAATTTAGGAGTATTCAGTAATCCCTCATGTCAAACGACCACCACCTTTTCTACCGAATTTGGCCTAAAACTTATAGACGGCAGATCAATTTACATAAATGCTTGTACAATTAACCATTTAACACAACCCACAAAGTATATTCCCCCTTTCTTTGAGACAATAAATAGCACTTCCGAATTTTTGCCTCCAGCCGAAATAATATACCCAGTAATATTGTTAGGAAGTGACTACTATTATGATCTTGAACCCACCCCAATAAAAAAGCTTCCATCTGGATATACTCTAGTTAGCACTCTTCTTGGCCCTATTGTGGCCGGTAAACCGTACTCACCTAGTAATAGTCTAATCCACAATACTAATTTTTGTTCACAAATAGATGACCAAATACAACAATTTCTTTCCCTGGAAGGAATCGGCATAAAAGAGGATCCTGGGGAAAATTCTGAAGACAAGGTATCAACCCAATTTGTTAAAGATATCAAATTTGTCGACGGGCGTTATGAAATAAAGTTCCCGTTTAAAACCGATCCAGCCCACTTGCCAATACCAACGAATTTTCCTCTATGTTACGGACGCTTGCGTTCTGTATTAAATTCCTTGAAAAATGATAAAACGCTTATTTCTAAATACCAAGAAATACTCACGGAACAGCTCCAACTGGGAATTATAGAAAAGGTTCAAAATTCCAACCAAAATTGTGTACCACTCCATTACCTTCCCCACCACCCAGTAATACGTCAGGACAAGAAAACGGTTCGGATAGTTTACGACGGTTCCGCAAAATTAGGAAAGAACCTGTCACTTAACGAATGCTTATTCTCTGGACCTAACCTTCTGAATGACCTTGTCGGCCTTTTATTTAAATTTCGCCTCCCTAAATACGTAATCACGCCCGATATCCAAAAGGCCTTTCTCCAAATTAGCATAAACCCTTCCAATCGTGACGTAACACGCTTTTTGTGGCTAAAAGACATTTCACTCCCCCTCTCCTCGTCCAATATCCAAATTTACCGATTTGCCCGTGTACCCTTTGGACTAATTTGTTCACCATTTCTTCTGGCAGCAACAATTCGCTACCACCTTTCAAAAAACAAATCCGCTCTATCGCAAGAATTGGAAGAAAACATTTATGTAGACAACATACTTCTTACCGCCTCCTCTATAACAGAAGGAAAATTAAAATGTCTTGAGGCAACAAAGCTTTTTGCAACGGCAAATATGAAACTCAGAGAATTTGTAAGTAATTGCCCTGAAATTATACAAGATGTCCCAGAAGAGGACAAACTCCCCAGCTCAAAAATTAAATTTCTTGGTATTAAATATTGCCCAATCGAAGATAAATTTAGACTTAACTTACCAAACCCACCTGAAATCTCCAACCCAAAGAAATGCGACATTCTTTCATTTGTTGCATCAGCTTATGATCCATGTGGGTTTTTATCACCCATTTTACTCCCTTTAAAATTGTTTTTTCAATCTTTATGGCTAAATAATCTGAAGTGGACCGATCCCGTGCCCGAAGAAAAAGTAAATGAATGGAGGCAATTATTTTCCGAGTGGAAAGACTTAAATTTTTCAATTAAAAGATGTATATGTCCCGACCCCATAAATATAAAACAGATCGAATTACATTGTTTTAGTGACGCTTCTTCACAGGCCATGTGCGCCGCTATTTATTTACGTATCCACCTTCCCCAATCAATCCATTCAACTCTTTTATTTAGTAAAACAAAGCTTAAACCCGTTACAAAGAAAGGTCAAAAATTCACTATACCAAAAATGGAATTGGTTGCAGCTCTAATTGGGTTAAGAGCCCTTATTTATGTAAAATCACAACTCCCTCCTTCAAATGTGGATGAGAACCTGACCCTTTGGGTAGATTCATCCGTAGTTATTGGTTGGCTAAATTCCCGATTGCCAATTAAAGACATATTTATTTACAATAGAATTAAACCGATAAGAACCACACCCAATTTAAAAGTCTGCCACATACCAGGAAGTCAAAACCCCTCAGACTTGGGCACACGCGGAATCACAAAACCAAGTGAATTGTTTAAAAATGATTTATGGCTACATGGACCAAGTTGGTTGTCGTGTGCAACAAGTTCCTGGCCAAAAGAAAATGCCGAAATTCCAACATTCTCATCGAATGACTACAACCCAGTACTAGAAACGAAAGAAACACAACCGATAATGACATTCCACACTACACAAACAAAACTGACACCCCTAATGGAAATAAATAAATTTTCTCGTTTGCCAAAACTCCTTCGTGTTACTGCGTATGTTTTGAGATTTATTGCTTATAATGGACACCCTTCAATTTCCCCATTTTTGAAAAAATACCCAAGGATTAAGAATTTAAACATATCCATCCGAGAACTACGCTCGGCTTTGAAAATAATCATTAAACAAGAACAAGATTATTACCCTCCAACCGAACAGGAAGAAAATTCATTAGGCTTATTTAACGATGAAAATAATTTAATTAGAGCAAATGGCAGGTTAGGAAATAGTAATCTCCCACAAAATACAATATTGCCATTATTCCTTCCAGCCAACTCCCACCTTACAAAATTGCTAATTTATGAAATCCATATTTTAAATCATCATGCAAGCCCTCTTTCAGTACTCTCAATGATTAGAAGAGAATTTTGGATACCACGTGGCAGACGGGTCGTACAACACACTCTATATTTAAGTTGTCTACCCTGCCGCAGATTTAATTCTGTGCCATTTAACCGACCACCTTTTCCACAACTCCCAGAAGACAGAGTGACACCATCCCGTCCATTTTCCGCCATAGGGTTAGATTATTGCGGACCACTACGTTTAAAATATGCTGATATAAATAATCAAAAATTTTACATTCTTTTGTGGGTTTGTCTAACAACCCGTGGAATATGCTTAGACTTAGTCCCAAATCAATCCACCCAACAATTTTTACTGGCTTATCGTAGATTTTCTGCCAAATTTAGCCCTCCCACAGTCATTTATTCAGATAGCGCTCCAACATTTGTCTCGTTTAAAAATTCCCTAAAAACTTACCCACCAACTTGGAACCTCCGAGTACCATATGCGGCTTGGAGAGGAGGTCACTATGAAAGATTTGTGGGTCTAATAAAATTTCACCTCCGCCGCACCCTATCAACCGGAATTATTCCAAAAATTTTTACTTTTGAAGAAGCGCTAACAATAATAGGAGAAATTGAAAATATTATAAACCACCGGCCAATAACCTTCGATTCAACCGACCCAAATGAAATACGGCCATTACGTCCAATTGATTTTATACGTCCCCTAAACAAAAATATTTCCCCAATCTCCAATTTATGCCCACAACCCCACCCTCTCGAAATAAACAGTAACACAATTTCCCTTCAAAAATTATGGAAAACTTTAACAAAAACAAGCCAAAAATTTTGGAAACAATGGGCCCAAGAATATATATTATCACTCCGGGAAAGGTATAAAAAGTTGACAAATAATTCAAACCGGAGCCCCATCCCAGGGGAACTAGTGATCGTTGTTGAAAATTCCCCCGTCTCCGTTTGGAGAACGGCAATAATTGAGAAAATACAGTGTAATAAAGATAACATTCCCGATATTGCAACCATTCGATTCTCATCCGGCCGAAGAACAAATCGTTCCATTAGTCATCTTTGTCCTTTAGAAACAACTGATGAAATTAATAATAAAATAAATCTCACAGCTAATCCCACAAAAGAAAATAAAGAAATTACAACGACACTTTCCCAATAAACATAAATACAAACAATTTCTAACACTTTCCCAGGATTTTTTGTTAAAAATTTTTTCAATCTTTAATTTTATTTATATTAAAAGGGGAGGAGAGATTTATGATTTAAGCATATAAAATTGCTTAACCTTTCAATTAAATTATTATTTTTTTAATAACAAATTTCTTCAATTAATTATGGGAAACATAATTTCTATTAATATTTTTTCTTTGGATTTTTCCGCTTATTTCCAACCAACTAAACCTGAAGGCCCAAATTGGGCATATTACTCATTTTTCCTAATCCTTCTTGTATTAATAGGCTTAACAATAAATTATGTCTACAAACATTTAAAATTCGTCCATAAACAAAACCATAGGCAAACCAACAAAAAATCCAAAAGCCCTTCCACTCATACAACAAATACTAAGCCTGTTAAAACATTAATAAAACAATTTGAATTGTCTTCAATTTGTATAATATTTTTCCTCATTTTATTCTTACCACCCCCTGCCCTCCCATCTCCAAAAAGAAAAGGAAAATACACAATAAGTAAAATCTTCAAAACGGTTGGAAAACCAACCGCAAAACTTTCGCTACCAATTTTGGCTAGCTCGGCCCTCTATTTTGGTATGGAATCCCTCTCCTCATTTATCCAAGAACACCCAGAATCATCGGCAGCCATATTTTCCCTTTTAGGCTGCTTTGTCTCATTATTTATACTGCTTATTTTAAAATTAGCTACTTTATTACATAAATATTTTTCTCGGCCCCAATCCCCTCAAATTGATCAACCGATAGAAATGTCGGAAATTAGAAATAATTTAGAAGAATTAATACTCCGTAGCGACCCTCCCCGCCCTCCTACCTCTCAATAATATAAAATAAATTTAGATGAAAACGAAAAATATTCGAACCCCTATTCCCCAAAACGAAATTTATAAATTACGAAAATATTTAAACTTTACTATTAATAATAATTCATCTAATTCTTCTCCCGAACCAATGTCTATAAATACTAATTTGGTGGCAACTACCGAATCCTCACTTCAGGCGGCCCCCACCGCTGAAATTTCTTCTAAATTTTCAGAAATATCAATTACTGCTAAACCAACTGCCCATCCACCAATCCTTCCTCCATCACCAACACCCCCACCAACCAACATGCCTGTGGATGAAATCCCACTGCCAATTCAACCACCACAATCGCTTGCGTCTCCGGAACTGAAAATGATTTTGGATCCCCCACCGCCTCCACCCAGCTCTCCCATCAAGTTTCCAATCAGCCGTGTACGTGTGCTCCCTTCTGGCTTTGTTGAACGTCTCCCAGCATCAACCATTTCAAAAAATCAATTGGCCAAATTGCGAAAGAATAAGAATAAGAAATTTATGAAAAGAAACATTTCACGCATTCCCCCATTAAACTCATTAAAATTTACGGTTCCCCCTGTTGTTGGGCGAAAGCCCCATATCATAACCAATTATAACAATTTAAACCCCAACTGGCCCACCCAAACCAATCAAAATCAATTTTCAGTTCCGAGAACCCAAGCTCCACCACAAAATACTATTGTTACTAACACCATGGTCCCCATTGTTTATTTGCCTAACAATCTTCTCCCCCTATTTAATGTCCAACCCATTCATTCAATTTTCGCCGCGGGACTGTCGCATCCTGCGAATTAACTCCAACTAATTATTTTAAATAACTTATTAAAATTATGAAATATATTAATCACTACTAAAATTTCCCACGCACATATTTTGAAATACATTTCCTCCAAAACCACTGGCTATAAATATATTGTTTCCCTTCCCTTTAAGCATTCTTCAATAAAATAATTATAAAATATATAATTTTCTGCTTTTAAATTAATTGTATTTTTTCTCTTGCGAAATAAACTTTATTGGATTTTGAATTAATTGTAATTGAGAATTAGGATTTCTTTAAATATTAGGAAAAAAACCCAACATTGTTTTTTCCGAATTTATAGTTTAAAATTTTATTTTCATCTCATATTTCTTGATTGTTTGAATATTAGTTTGACACCCGACGTTTTTGTTTAGGTCTTTCTTCTTTCTCTTCTATTTGAATATTATTTAGGGATTTGATAAGTAAATAATTATCAAATATTGCAAAATTTTCCTAAAATTTTATAATTATTTTTAAAACTTTAAATAAGGAAAGAAGACAATTTTGGAGTTAATTTTGGATAAAAATACTGAAAGATTCTATTATTAAACGAAAAATAGTGTTACAAACAATTAATTATTTAGATAATTCCGGGGGCTTTCTAGAATTTTTAAAAAAATTTTAAAAAATTACGTCTCTCATTTGATCCTGTCCAATAAAGGAATTATTTGAAATATGGGTTGGTGATGATGGTAAACTATTAGGATTTATCCCTTTATTTCGATGTACACGAATAAATGGCTTTCTTTCATTATTCAGATTATTATTTAAAGAATATTTTGTTGTTTCGTTTAATTCTTTTTCTAAATTTAATTTAGAATAAGTAGATACTTGTCGGGAAGTATCCATAAATTCATTATCAATATTATTAAATTTCTAAAATAATTATAACAAAAAAATTTCAGATATTAATTACCCTCTTTTTTCCTTGCTTTATAGTTCCGTTAATAATTTGAATAAAAAATATAAATACTAATAATTTAAATAAATATTTTAAATAATTCATTTTTTAAATTACAAATTGGTTATTAAATTAAAAATTATTTTATTTAATTAATTAAAGATTAATATTAATTAAAAAATTATTTTTTGGCCAATTAAATAAACATACATATTTATTTTGCCGTACATTATTGTTTAATTATGTAAATTTATTTTGAAATAAGAAAAATTATTTAAAAAAAGACATTCCGAGTGCAACACGTGAATATCCTTAAATGCCCTTTAATTTATAAACAAATTTTATTTTACGTCATTTAATGTTTAAATATATAAAAAAATCTGCCGTCTACGTCTGGCCATCATCTTTCGTAATATTACTTTATAAAGAAAATAAAATTAATAAATATAAAAATTATTTAAATTTTAAAAAGTCAAACAATCAGAAAATCTGAAATTATATTGGTAATGTAAGATGGTTTTACAGGGTGACCCAAAAGAAACCGGGCACGCTATTTTTGGCATAACGCTATTTTTGGCATAACCTAAACTTACATAACTTTCTTAATCCTTGATCAAAAAATCTTTAATTTTACTATATGATAGAGAAATAAATGGGCTACAAAATTAACTTGAAATTATCTAAAAATGATATGAACAAAAAAAGTTATAAAGGATAGAAATGTGTCCGGTTTCTTTTGGGTCACCCTGTAGTAGAAAAATATCATAAAAAAATATAGGTATGTACTATTTACTGAATACCTATAATATTTAGGTTTTGTTTTCAATTCTTTCCACAAAATTAGTTAGGCCTAAACACATATGTATATTTTATAACTATTAATGTATTGCTAGCTAATTCTTTTGAGTAAATGCGGTTATATATCTTAATAGATGCAGAAACAACATGATAAATAAAGCCTCTATCGGGGGCGCCTCGCCGACGCCCCATAGGTTTACGTTGTTGCACCAATTTGGTCGAGTTTCGGGTTGGAAAAAAGTCCGGGTTTCGGGTAAGCCGGCCCATCCCTAGTTTGGTTGAGTACTTAACCCTATTCATTGTAATTAACACTAAGGAATATTGACACTTTCTAGTTAATCCAAAGAAAGAAGAAAAAATATGAAGGCACACTTCATTTCAAATAGTGCCAAACCTTTTATAACTATAGATACATGTATTAGTGATGCTCGGGTATCCCGATCCCGACTCGGGAAAATTTCCCGAGTTTTTTCCTTAATTCTTAAAATTTTTACCTCCGGAGAAAAAATAGAAATTTTTGGCGCCGAAGGCGCCAAAAATGTTGAAATTTCGAATCACTGGTCATGACAAGAGCGTGTTTTTAAAGTTTTTACCCGTTTTTATGTCAGCCTAGGATGATATAAGTCGAAAGAACTGTTTCAAGTTACTTAGCTAAAAGGTATTCCGGTTTTTAAGTCATAAACCTTTTCGGCCTTTTTTGGAGTTTTTGAACTTATTTTAAATACCCAAAAACACTCTCCGTTATGACTATCTAAAAAATTAATAATCACGAAAACATATTTACAAATCTGTGGGGTAACGAATAGTAGAGACGTCCGAGACTCGTTTTGATTATTTACATAAAATTTTCTTTGGGGAAGGGGGGGGGGGGGGTTGGTCCTGATATTGAGGTTATGTGATCCCAACTTTTGAGACTTCTATAAATACACCTTAGGTTAGGTAATATATAAGTCTTTACTTTTACCTATCTTCAAATTTCTTCTGTAGCGCTAAAGTATAATAAGTTTAGAAAATATAGTTAGATTAGTTGAACTTTGAAACAAGCCTTGTAATTAACTTTGTAATTAAAATTTTTGTCCTTGAGTCATAACATAGTCTCGAATCTTGAACTTGGAATATACTCTTGGTCTTAATGTTCTCAGACGTCTCTATTAACTAACGTTGTGATATTTTTAATATTTAAGCTACAAATAATAGTTTTTTTACTATAATCAAAAACTATTTGAACAAATTAAATCAGGTATTAATACAAAAAGGCTCCAGGTTTCAGTTCAGGAAATTATCAAAAACGCAAAATCTTCGACAAATGGACGCCTAGAACTTCAAAAATTTAAACAGATTACAGAAACACAAACCGGCTAAACTAGACTAATCGAAATTAGAATCCCATTCAATGAAATAAAACTTTCTAATTAATAAGACTGGACAACCTGCACTATGAATAATAGAGACCGGAGCGAGACTCGGTTATCGAGATCGAGAATTTTTCGAGATCTCGATTCTCGTACGAAACTCCCAGTCCTATCTCTAATGAATATACCTGTTAAATATAACACAACGTTAATTATACAGGGCGGTGAATATGTACATATGTTTAGAGAATAAACGAGGTAAATGTGTTTAAAATATTCAAAAAAATGAAATAAATAAAGATGTTTGTTTCTCGTTTTCAAATAGTATATACAAGGTAGGTATGTACATTCTTCCTAAATTATAAGTTTTTAAATTATATATTGACAGTCAGGCATTAGTTTTAAATCATCCAAATTTAAATAAATACTCCTAATTTACTCGCACGATTCTTATTTTGTTTGACTACTAAATGAGGAGCGCCAAAAACTATTTTAAACCTATGTATGTAGGGCCGACTGTTTATATTTATTAAAACCTACTCTTTGGACATTCTTTCAATTTGCGATTTGTTTTCTTTTTTACAAGGTCAATTCAAGATCTAAAATTTTAAATTCCTTAATTTATTTTTAGGGAAATTTATAAAAAAAGATTTTCCGCACGAATTAACTAAATTTACTAAAATTGCCACAATTATTTTGAATATGGCTGTTAATTCTTGAAAACTCTTCGAATATCTGAAGAAAAACGTAATCGAAAACCCTTGTTTCTTCGGTTTGATTCTGAACAAGAACCCTATTCCGGAAATATTGGCAAAATAAAAACAATAAATATAACGACGAAAACATATACGAGGTAAATTCTTACCCTTTTTATGTGATTCTTCGATATGTTTATCCTTAGCATGTTCCGAAAACAAATCTTTAACAAAATTAAATTTTTTGATTAAATAATTTCTAATATTATTCTAAAAAAATTATAAACTCCCCCTCAATTTTCGATAGTTTATGGATTTACCCCCCCCCCTATTTTGCATCTCAGAATTTTCCTTCATATGTACAAAATGGACGGACTATCTTCATTCCTCAATTTTAACTTATTTCCCTGTGACATATTCAAATGAAAGACATTAATAAAGAGACCAAACTTAGTTTTAAATTAGTTTTAAATTACTTAGTTTTAAATCATCCTCTTTTTTACTCATCTCGTTGTTGTCCATCATTGACAAGAAATCTTAAAAAATATGTTTTAACTTTAGTTTAAGCCTAACACTTCTGGTGTGATAACTTCGCAGCTGAGTAAGTCGGGATTATGAAAATTCGGGTATCCAGTTGTTGCTGGAAACAAGTATCATGGAAATAGAGGGGTACCCTCAGGTTCTTTATTTAAATTGGATTATATAGGATTAGACTGAATTAGATGAATTTTTAAATATCAAGAATCAAAAAGCGTTCTGACGAGAATTTTTGAATTTTCCGATGGTTAAAAAGCTTAAAAATTAAAGCTTTTTGGGTTGTTATAAGGGTCCTTAATCCATAAATAATGGAGAAAATGTTGAGTAAAAAATGATAAAAAATAACAACACGTTACTTATTTCCTCGGGATACTTTTCTTCTTCATCATCATCAAGATTAATAATCTCAATTCCTTTATGATATTTCTTTTGATTTTCTAAAATTAATAATTTTTTTTGAATTTAATTTAAATAATTTTGTACATCTTTCATTATAAAAATATTTACCTCCCAAAACTTAAATATTTATTTAAAAAAATTCTTTTATAAAAAACTACCATGTTGAAGCGATGGAACATTTTGCTAGAAATTATAAAATTAAAAGAACCTGAAGCTTTTTGTTTTATAATAAATAGGGGTTTACCCCGTCCCCGAAAGCTTTTAATTTTAAATATGTGAAAATTAGTGAAAGGGGGGTTCTCGTCTCGAACAAATTTTTGGCTTCTTGGCTCCCGAGGTAATCCAAGAAATTATAATGCTTAAAAATCCGTGCTCCAATTTTAACAGAATATATTAAAGATAAAAAAATTATAAAAAATAATATAAAAAATAAAAAAATAACAAAAATTTATTTATTAAAGATAAAAAATTATATTTACATTTTTTCCTGGAAAGTCAACAAAATTTTTTCCCTTTCCTTGAATTGCTTCGGTATTCTGTTTGTTTTTCCCAATAGTAGAATTGTATAAATCAAAACATTGTTTAAATAAAAAAATTGTTTCTCCATTCTTAACTTTCTGCGAATATTTTGCAAGTTCTTTTTGGGCTTTTTCCATTTCTTCATCATTTTTCTTTCCTTTAAGCTCAATGTATTTTCTGGTCCATATTTTTGTTGCGAAAAAATTAACTGTATATTCTTTAATATCGTCACCAATCCGATGTTTTTGTATAAATTCAAAAAAATTAAAAAATAATTTTTATATTATTAGTTCATTAAAAATGCTTTACATTAATTACACTATACCAACTTTTTTTTGCTCTTTTCTTTAACAACGTTGCATTAAAGAAATACTTAGAATAATACAAGAGACGCAAAAAACGAGAGAAAAGAGATTTCTTGAGATAAAGGAAATTTTAGCTCTACTGCAGTTTATGAGTCGAATCACACTCATAAAGTGTGATTGGACTCATAAGGTTCGCCTCATAAACTGCAGTCGAAATTTTTTCTTCTCTCCTAACTCCTTTATTACCTTCTGCATTCTTTTGATAACTAGCTTCATTTATTTTTGAAAAAAAATCTTTGATTACAGAAATTATCTCTTCTTCTTTTAAAATGCTGCTTTTCAAAGATGTTTCAGCAAGAATTTTAATTTGTTGTTCGACAGTAATTTGTTTTCCTTTAAAAAAATTTTAAATTAATTTAACAGTGGAAACATTTTAATTAAAAAATCGCAATTTAAAGAATTATTCTTACACAATTTTTTAAAATCTTTTTACCTTTTAATGTTTGTATTGAAAATATTTGGTATATCTGTAATTATTTAAAAATATGTAGGTATATTTGTTACAACTAATACACTTAGTTGTACTTGTAGTATATGTAGGTTGAGATTAAAAAATAATTTGATAATCCTCTTTTATTACACTTGTTTAGGAATGTTTAATAAAAATGGAGTATATACTCAAGATCGGACAGAGACGAGATTTCGATCAAAAATCACGGTTATCAAGATCGAAATTTTTTTGAGATATCAATCTCAATTCTCGTACGAGCTTTGCAGTCCGGTCATTAGAATTTATACTACAAATATTTATTTAAAATAAATAGTTGTACCTTATATTATAAACTCTAGTCTTAAAAAATTTTTAATGTTTACATTGTTTCCATTTTCATAAAACTTTTTTTGGTTTTCTTCTAATTTTAAATATTTATTTTTAACTTTTTTATCCATTCCATTAACAAAATTCTTCACTACAAGATTTACTATTTCCCTTTTTTTCAAATAATTAAGATAAAGAATGAAGATTTTGTTTAATTCCTGTCGAATACTTCCCATTTTTGTTTGATTTTTCATTTTATCTTCCTCGTTTTCAGCCAAGCTTTGCTTTAATTCAAAATATGATTTTACGTTTATCTCTATTTTTCCTTTTCTCTCTTCATAATATTTCATAAATTTCTCCAATTGTTTTAAATCTGTTTTATATTGAATTAATAATAATAATTAAAGGTATAGTATTTATGTATTTTAAGCTTATTTTTAGCCACATTTTCTTTCTTTTCTCCTTTTTCTTAATTTGATCGGCTATAACTTGTTTTGTGCTAGATCCAATTCCGATGGTTCTTATATCATTTGAAAGCTCTCGATAAACGCTATCTTTTTCCTTACTGGATGGATTTGTCTAATCGCCTATTAAAAGGTTACAAGTCGTCAATTGTCAACTCAGGTTTAGCTTAATTCGACTCACGATTGCCGAAGATACGGCCCCGCCTAAGCTTATAAATTAGCTGTGAAGGCCTTATTATGTATATACATAAATAAAAATTAGGGATTTATTATAGACAAACACTATGTGACCGGAAAATAGGGATTAAGTATATGAGAGTCAACTACGGTGTACGGAATTTTCGTCTCTGGAACATTCGTCTCCAAGACTTTTCGGAACTTTCGTCTCCAACATTTTCGGAATTTTCGTCTCCAGCGGAATATTCGTCACCAAGGAAATAAACGGAATTTTCGTCTCCGCAATTTTCGTCTCCGCTAGGAATTTTCGTCTCCAGAAAAAATGATCTGGTCCGTCAACGGGGAAGTTGTTCCGTCAACGGAGGAAGTTGTCCGTCAGCGGGGGATGGTGTTCCGTCAACGGGGATGTTGTTCCGGCAACGGGGGAAGTTGCCCGTCAGCGGGGGATAGTGTTTCTTCAACGGGGATGTTGTTCCGGCAACGGGGAAGTTGCCTGTCAGCGGGGGATAGTGTTTCTTCAACGGGGATGTTGTTCCGGCAACGGGGAAGTTGCCCGTCAGCGGGGGATAGTGTTCCGTTAACGGGGAAATTGGTCCGTCAACGGGGGAAGTTGTTCGATCATCGGGGGAAGTTGGTCCGTCAACGGAGGAATCAACGGGGGAAGTTGCCCGTCAGCGGGGGATAGTGTTTCTTCAACGGGGATGTAGTTCCGGCAAAGGAGGAAGTTGCCCGTCAACGGGGGATAGTGTTTCTTCAACGGGGATGTAGTTCCAGCAACGGGGGAAGTTGCCCGTCAACGGGGAAAGTTTTCCTCTGGAGACGAAAATTCCTAGCGGAGACGAAAATTGCGGAGACGAAAATTCCGTTTATTTCCTTGGTGACGAATATTCCGCTGGAGACGAAAATTCCGAAAATGTTAGAGACGAAAGTTCCGAAAAGTCTTGGAGACGAATGTTCCAGAGACGAAAATTCCGGCACTCGTCAACTACAGATATACATATTTATTAATTTTAAATTTTATTATAAATTAAATTCACGGCCTTCAGTTATTTTATGGCCTTCATTGCTATTGATTTTTCCAACATATATTTTCAATAAATATTGAAATTCATAGGGCTTTAAACTTTTGCATTCATTCAAAAGTCCAAGTTGCTGTTCGACAGTAACTATTAAATAATTATTTTTAAAGTTAGATGTCAAATCATATACCTATGCCCAAGTATCGGTGATAAAAAATATGCTAATTTCGCAGCGCGCGATATGGGCACCATAATTCGTTACAGAACAAATTTTTGACACAAGGACAGTTAGCATAAAACAATTCAAAGGCTAGGGTTATTCACCGTAAGTTAATCACCCTATGAACGATTTATCATACGACCCGGACTTTTTTCAAGTTCGGATTTCTGTATCTGTTAACTCATAGTTGAAAAGTTATTTAAGTATAATTTAAAAATCTCAAAATCATACTTGTGTAAACATTTTTTGTACTTTTTCCAGTTTTCTGTTTTTTTGCAGTTTGGAAACTGATTAAATTGCTTGGTTCTCTTTCTTTTCGCTTTGATGTTGTCCCTGCATTTGTTTGATAAACAAAGCAAAAGAACAGAATCAAAATTTTCGATAAAATCAGAAACTTTATCTTTTTAATATTGCGCATTTTTAGCGCAATATTTACCTAAATTATTGAAAGATAAGTAAATTGTATATAAATTGAGATTATAATTTTGAGATTATCACCTAATTTTGAGAGAGTAACCCCCCAACCTCTCAGTGATCAATCAAATTAAAGAAAAGTTATTAAAAATAGAGTTTTGAATGTATACGTATGTCGTCGGCCAAATTAAATTCTTGTCTAAATTCAATTTGGCCGTCTAATTGGAGACTGAAACTCCTAATTTCGATGTTTCTTTGTGCTTTAAAATTGGATTTGTGTAATATAAAAGTTCTTCATGTTCGTTACCTACACCCACTAGGTCTGGGACCGTTCCTTACCCTATTCTTCGAAATTTCAGGTAGTTACAATCGTTTTTAAGAAAATTTTTAAAAATTACTATAACTTTCAAAAATTTCTAGGAATAAGGTAAGGAATGGTCCCAGACTCAGTGAGATGGTCACGAACATAATAGACTGCTAAGGATCCCAATTTAAACATATAGAAACATCGAAATTTGAGTTTCCGTCTCCAATTGGCCGGCCAAATTGAATTTAGACAAGAATTTAATTTGGACGTCGACATGCTATTTATATGATGTATAAAACAGTCGGACTAATTTTATAAATAAAATTTATTTAAAAAATTTTTTTCATTAAATCAGACTTATGTAAGCCCCGCAAATATATTTGCGGATTTAAGTTTTTTTATTTAATTTAATTTTAAATTAGAAGAGAGTTTTTCTCCCCCATATACATTCAAATAAATTTTTTTGAATGAGAGGGGGAGTTGAAGCATTCATTGAATATATTCTCGCTAACTCAACACGCGACGCTCAAAATTTTTAAAAATTTAAAATATTGATTAATCAATCGAAAATTCATATAGCCTCTCTATTGTCGCAAATATATTTGCGGATTTTAGTTAAAATTTGATAAACATAAGTTATTACTTTAAAAATTACTCAAAATAATAAATAAATTATACGTAGTTGAGACGTATTTTTCTTTCCCACCTTAAAGGATCGCTCTAATGGATAGGACCATTCAACTATATAAGGCCGCTCAAAGAAAATACGGTATAAATAATCCAAAAATTATATTTTAAAATATTTATCCTGAACTCTCTTGTTTATTTTCTTGCACATTGTGTAGCATATAAGACAAAAATTACACTGTGTTACAAAAGTATACGCGCACCTAAATTTTTCAATTTTTCTGCATTAATACTTATGCTAATATCTTCTAGATTTTTTATAATATATAGATTAGCTAAACAAGAAGATCCATGGACAATTTTCTTGAAAAATTTAATAAGTTATTTTTATTTTTAATTTTTTCCCAAAATAGGGTATTCATAAGTATACGCGCACAAGATTATAGACATTAAGGATGGTTCGAAAAATCCACAAAAATTCCTGTAAACATATTAAGTGATATTAAAAGAAAATACAAAAGAAATGAAGTTCCAGTCAAGTCTCATAATCGATATCTCGAAACCCGAAAATCAACGGAAAACACGGGGTAAACGTGTTTGAAAAATATTTTCGACCCCTTACAGTTAAAACAAAAATTTCAGTTTGGGCTTATTTAAAAGCCCTTGAAATTTGCTACAAGATAGCATGAATCTTATTTTCCGAAAAAATTTACATTTAAGACATAACATGTGATAAACTTTCAGGTCACCAAAATCACTCAAACGCCTCCCAAAAAGTGATGAAAATGTAACTCATAAACTTAACTCATTATTTCTCAAAGAAAAATTTTTTCTAGAATATGAGATAAAAAATATCTTGTAGCAAATTTCAAGGGCTTTCAAATAAGCCCAAAATAAAATTTTTATTTTACCTGTAAGGGGTCGAAAATATTTTTTAAAGACGTCTACCCCGGTTTTCCGTTGATTTTCGGGTTTCGAGATCTCGATTATGGGACTTGACTGGAACTTCATTTCTTTTGTATTTTCTTTTAATATCACTTAATATGTTTGCAGGAATTTTTGTGGATTTTTCGAACCATCACTAATGTCTAAAATCTTAAGTTATATAAGTGCGCGTATACTTATGAAACACCCTATTTTGGGAAAAAAATAAAAATAAAAATAAATTTCTAAATTTTTTGGGTAAATTGTCCATAAATCTTGTTGTTTAGTTAATTTACATATTTTAAAAAATCTAGAAAATATTAACATCTATATTAATGACAGAAAAATCAAAAATTTTAGGTGCGCGTATACTTATGTAACACAGTGTATACATAGAATATTTAAAATTAAAACTCAGAATATAAGATATTGAAATTCCGCTACAAACAATGTTTTTAAAGGCACGTTTTGCGGATAAGATTTGCGCACTTTTATAAAATTTAAATTGCCGCAACGCTTCACGCGTTTATAGTCTGTTTATAGTCTATGAATAAAATTTTTTGGCATTGTTTAAAGTCTCGCTTTCCCCCTCCATTCACGAGTTATTGAATTTAATTTTTGTCAAATGCCATATAGCATTCATATGATAAAGTGCTTTTGGCAAGCATGACAAGGGCATAGACTTTAATAATTCTGTCGGTAATTTCAATTAAACATCGAAAACTTTTTTATCTTCAGTTTCAGTTTAATCTGTGTTATATATAAATATAGGCTTTAGATTAAAATAAGGAAATAGACAACAGATTATATTTAATTCTTAATTTATCCAAAGTTTCAGTGAATTTTTATATTTAAAGTAATTTAAAAAAATTATATTTTGTTTAGACACAATTTTATCAACATTTTATTACAACTTTAGCTTTTTACAGAATAATATTTAAAGTTTTCTATTTGCAGAATTACTTGCCATTTGTTTAACATCCCTAGAGAGTTGGGCAGAAATTTTTTTGGCATTGTTCTCAAATCTGCCCAACCTAGAGGGTTGGGCAGATTCAGTTGCCGGTCGGAGTTCGAATAGGATCAGATGAAAATTTTGGAGTAGGCATAAACATTATATACATTATAGTATATTTTAATTTTAAAATTATGAAAATTTAGAAAGTCGCGAGATATCTTTTTTATGGAAAAAGTCTGATATTTTAAACTTTTCTGGCAGTTTCGAGCTGAAATAATAATAATATTAATATATGTAAATCTGATAATCGGACCCACAGAAAAAAATTAATAACAAAAAAATACATATACTTATCAAGATGTAATCATTTATTATTCTATAATTTTATTAAATTATAATTAGTTTTTAATCTTTAATTTTAAAGTTTTTCACGTGAATTTTTCTGTTTTTATTAATTTAAAAAAATTTTTTTTTTATTTTTTAATTCTAAATAAATAAATATATTTTATTGGGAAATATCAGAACACAATACACAAAATATTTTAAAGTTTTATTTTAGGGTTTTAGCAAAAATACAATGTGTTTATTCGATATCAGTTGATGTAAAAATCTGCTTCTTCAAATCGACGTTTAGATGTCATGAGGGGACATAAATAAATAGAATCACTTTAAAAATTGTTGGTTCTATCTAGAGGACAAGTTTTGTATTTATTCTGGTTTTCAACTGTTCAAGAAATAGAAATAATTATTTTTTAGCCAATAATTATTCTGTTTGTCGTTTCAGAAACAAATAGAAAAATACTTATGTAATGAAAATTTTGAGGATGTTATCGAGATTCTGTTATTGTCTAAAAGATATAAAATAAGACAAAAAAAACAAAATTGACTCAGGGATTGCAATGTAATGATGACTGTTCAAGGAATATAAATAACCGAAATTACAGGGTGGGGCAAAAGTTCGGCGACAAATGTTTTTAATAAAATCTATTGTAAAAAATTTTTATTTAAGATTAAAAAATGATAAAATATAATCAATAGGATATAATAATGATTTTATTAAAGTAATTTCTCAAAATGACCGACCCTGACTGAAATACACGCATCCAAACACATACGGATGTTACTCACAATGGTCGCGCATTGTTCATCGGTTATTTCGTTCCAGGCTCACTCCAAAACCGTGGCGCGACATTTGGGGATCGGTCTTTTGGGGACCCGACAGTTGGGGACGACTTTTGGGGACCCGACTTTTAGGGACCCGACTTTTGGGGACCCGACTTTTAGGGACCCGACACTTAGGGACCCGACAATTGGGGACCCGACATTTGGGGACGAAATAGAATTTTAAAAAAATTTGAAAATCTACCTAAAGCAAGTTTATAATGCATGGTCGGATTTGAACAACACATGGTCATTGACTCAGCTCGATGTTTGAGTCGAATGAGGGTGAAATCCAAGCGCGGAAGTTAACGATCAAGCGCGGGGGTCAACAGCCCGTGCTTGATCGATAACTCCCATGCTTGACTCCCTCGACATTTGACTCCCGCACTTGGTTTTCACTCTCATTCGACTCAGACATCGAGCTGAGTCAATGACCATGTTTTGTCCATATCCGACTATGTATTAAAGACCCGCTTTAGGTAGATTTTCAAATTTTTTTTAAATTTTATTTCGTCCCCAAATGTCGGGTCCCCAATTGTCGGGTCCCTAAGTGTCGGGTCCCTAAAAGTCGGGTCCCTAAGTGTCGGGTCCCAAAAGTCGGGTCCCCAAAAGTCGTATCCCCAAAAGTCGTCCCCAACTGTCGGGTCCCCAAAAGTCTGATCCCCAAATGTCGGATAGCCCTCCAAAACAACATTAGTTCCTCCGATGTTGCGTATCGGATTCGGCATACTTTTTGCTCCAGAAATCCCCAAATAGAATAATTCAATGACTTAAATCCAGTGAGTTTGAAGCCTTTAAATCTTTCCCCCAAGAACCAGGAAACAGCTCCCCACAGAGCTGGATTGTCGTTTTGGCTCCATGCGCGGGTGCTCAAACCTGCTGAAGCGAGAATAGGTTTTCTCCGTGAAGCTATAATGCCATGGATGCTCAATCCCCCTCAGAATGTCATTTTTTAGACTGTAGCATTAATTTTTATAGTCATCACTCTGTTATGGCGACCAGCTGCGACCAGACGTTTAATGCTTCGACATTTCTGAAGCCTATTCGATCGATAAAGAAATATGTGCGGCTGATCTTGTAGCTTCGAAGTCTAAGCTTCACTCTGAAAATTCTTAGGGGGCTCCTCGAGCTCATTCCGAGATCTGAGGCCGTTTTTCACATCGATTGTTCAGAAAAACGGAAAATTCGGTGTTTTCAGTCGTAACTTCGGTTACCGGCCGGCCACTACTAGGACGGTCCTGAGTATTTCCAAGCTCATGATATCGTTTTATTGCTTTGGAAACCAACATATGAAAGAGATCGAGCCGTCTAGCGATGCACATTTTCGCCCATTTTTTAAAATACAAAGAAATAATAGAAGCACGATTTTTTAACATTCAGTAAAATTTTTATTTTATGAGATAGGAAAAAATTTTCAAGATAAAATTTGTAGAGCGCGAATCATAGAATATGGGAAAACTAAACAAAATGCAAAATATAAAGTAAATTTTAAGATAGGACAAAATAAAATTTGTCGCCGAACTTTTGCCCCACACTGTATATTCCAGCATCGAATTTAAGTCTTCTGTAGGTGAAAAACGAAATTTTTTAACACATACCACCATTATAAGTTTATCTTTTATACGTGTGTTTGATTATAAATAAATTAGATATCTATCACGTCAAAAGACATTTGATAGTAGAGCACATCACAAACGTTCAAAAACTGATTCGTTCCAAAATAATACCGATTTTGTCAAAAAATCACCCTGGGTACTTGTTGTTTCAATCTCTCGCTTACTTAGGTAATTATTCGAGTAGAAACTATTAAAACAAGGATATTCGAATTGTTTTATTAATTTTTAGCTAATTTATAAAAATTTTCTTCTTCTAAATTTATTTAAAATAAATTTATAAAAAATAAAATAATTTTTCTAAAAATATAAATTTATTTTTTTTTGTTTTGCAAATTTTATTTTTAAATTTCATTTTAATTTTAGCAAGAAAAAATTCTAATTTTCCAAAATCATAAATTATATTTGCATGTTTTGTTTAATTGGCAATTTAAATTTAAAAAATTTAATTATATATAAATACATATTTACATATAAATAAATATTATTTAATTTTTATTTAAAAAATTTTTAAATTTATTTTCATATTATTAATTTTGAGAAAAATTCGGGACCGTTTTGGTTTCTAATGATAAGGAATAATTAATTCTTGTTTCATTCATCATTTAAAAATCTAGAAAAATTTAAACTAGGAGGAGTGTCCGAGCCATACAAACTTCTTGAATATTTTAAATTTTCTGTAATTTTCTAACATACATTTTTCTATTTATTATTCGTAATAATTGGCAGAAAAAAAAGATTAAAGTTTATTTAAGTTTAAAGGTTAATCCTTGTCTTTTATATTTTTAAAAAGTGTTTGTCTCAAAAAGAATATTTAAAAATTATTTAAGAGCAATTTTAGTGCATCTGTTAACTTTTAAATGAAAATTTATTTATTTTTATTATTCTCTAATTATATTTGAATAAAATAAAATTTAGAAATTATTTTAATTAATAAGATTATTTCCTAGTTTTTCTCGAATAATTAAATAATTATAAGGTCTGTGAAGTCTTCAAGGCCTAGGATATTAGAAACTATTTGGTAGTGAATTAATCACACTATATTTATTATTATTTTTTGTGATTGAATATCTGGATATCCGAAATTTTCTGTTTGAATATCAGTCCGACAATCCTAGTTTAGACCTGACCCAGCGTTGAATAATTCAAAATAACATGAAAAATTAATTTAAATATTTAGGTAATTAACAATAGATGTTAGTTTAAACATTGCCTAAAATTGCTTAAATTATTTCCCAGAAAAAAATATCTTTTTAATTTAATATTTTTAAAATATTTTTTAATTATAAAATTCAGTATATTTTTTACATAATAATTACTTAAATTATGGATTATTTACTCAATATTTTACCAAGAATTTTTTTATTGTCCCTTTGCCTTTCAATGTTTACTCATTTGTTTGCAGCCGATCCTCCATTTGGAAGACTTAGTGTACGCCAGAGCCAATTAGTTGATTCTTTTGGGAAACCAGTTATTTTGCGAGGGATTTCACTTTTTAATAGTGAATGGCAACAAGAATTTTGGACATCTGATGTTGTTAGAGCTGTTAAATGTTATTATAATGCTAATGTTGTGAGTATATGATTTTGAAGACTTTTATTAAATATTTAAAAATAAATTTAGAGAAAAACTTAAAATTATAAAGACTTTATCAAAAGTTTAGCTATCGAGTAGGAATTGAACCTATGATTTTGCTGACAGCTCCTATCGGGATTATTCATATACCCTTGAACACTTATATATCTCTATGACTGACTTAGCTACCGGGATAACCAATAATTTTTTATTTCTTAGGATTTTAACCTCCTGCCTAAGCGATTTAGAAAGTTGCTAAATAAATTAATTACTTAAATATTTAATACATACATATTATGTTCTATAAAAGATACGTTTGGCTGTTGGTACGGACCATCCTTGGGACGATATTGATAGAATAAAGGATGTTGTAAACGCTTCAATTGAGGTAATTATTTGAATGCTTGTTAAGGATTTCCAATTAATTGTTAAACTTTGATTATAGGGAATCGATTATAAAGAGAAAATGGTAATATGTAAAATAATTAAATTGAGGGAACCAACTCAAAAATTTCTATTATCGAAGTCGAGATTTTTGGAGATATTTATTTGGAATCTCGATCCATTCTCAAATCCCATCTCACTCAATAATATTTTTAATCCGTATTTTAAAATACAATTATTTAATTATTAACTTCATTAAAAAATTGCAGAATGGAATTTATCTTTTGCTTGACTGGCATAATGCTGGTGATGGTGGTTATGCTTTTGGAAATGGCATACCCGATTTTAACGCATTCATTTCTAATGCGATTGATTTCTTTGATCATATGTCTAATTTATATGCCAACATTCCTAATATGCTATACGAGATATGGAGTGAACCTGCTTGGCTTGAGTGGCGTATAATAAAATATTATCATTATAATGTAATGAAAGTAAGATTATTTTTAATTATTATCCAGTATAAATATCAAGGATGGGCCCTGACGCATTTTAATAGGCTAAAGGCGGAAGCTGAAAACAGTATAGCTGTCCGAGACTCTTGGTCCTGAGTCTTGAATCCAGACTTTTAGCTTTTTCGATCTTGGTCTCGAGTATTGGAAAATTTTCGGTCTCGACAGCTCTAGAAACAGCATATTCATGGTAACAAGGAAAGGAATCGGGCAAAACTAGGCAAAGAACTTTTACAAGTATACCCTAAGCTAGGTATCTGCAATAAATTTACAATACATCGCTGTCCGGTCTAACCATATCCAGGACTTAAGATAAAAAACTTATGTAGCCTGTGATTATTTTATAATTAAATGTTGATCATATAACAAAAATAAAAGGCAATAAGATCCAATGATAAGCATGCAGTTATAATTGGAGGAACGCCTGATTGGTCAACTGGGCCTAATTCTGCTGTATTAACCCAACCTATAATTGGATACAATTTTTTGTAAGTTACTTATATATTTATTTATCTACTAGCAATCATTTTTAACGTATTAAGAATGAAAAAGTTCAAAGGAACTTAGTTCAATAAATAGTAAATGCTTGTAGCGTGCTATTTAGTTTAGCCTTTTATTTTTTATAATTAGTTTCGGCACTTTGGTAAAAAGCTTTGGAATGTACCAAGTCCATATTTAAATAAATTTGTAATCCTAAAGATATGCTTTACATTGGTATGCCATTCCGGACAATATACATCATACTCTTCAACAAAGAATGATTCTTAGTGCAAAAAGGAAAGGTTTAGGAACATTTGTAAGCGAATATGGAACGACAAGTCTAGAAGAACATGCGCCAATAGAATATGATATGGTTAAATACTGGTTAGATACAATTAATTAAGTCCCTAGGCCTAACTCGTGAAAGTAAAACTGGGGGTTTCGAGAAGGATTCTAGCCAAAAACCTCGGTCATTAAAATATTCTAATGAAAAATTAGTTGAAAATTCCTTCTCTGAAAATAACTTGATATAATATGTAGTACCTATTTTGGCTAATTCAAATTCTGCTTATTCCGATAATTTAATTTTTTTCCGAAATACCTACTTTAAATTTATATAATATTAAGGTGGGGTTTTCTGGAAAGACATCAGGTTTCTTATATTGTTTGGTCTATGTCTAATAAAAACGAAAGTACTGCAATAATAAAAGCAAATTGTACTGCAGCTCAAGTAACCCAAGTAGAATGCATTAGTGAATCTGGAATTTTTGTTCGAGATCATTTATGGAGTTTTGATAATGGTATTATTTATTAAAAGTATAGCTAGTAATTTGTTAATATTCCGCCTCTCCTAGTCGAGTTTCAATTTTTTTATCATTGATATTTTTCGTTTCCATGTCGAACACTTATTACCTCAAGCAATATAGGGGGAGATAATGTGTAGATGCCCTTTTAAAAAATCTGACCCCATTTTAACTACCACACCTGGATAGTACATTGCCTTGTCTATCCCGCAAGGAAATTTTTAAAGAAGTACAATTATGCTAGCCGATAAAGCAGACTCAGGACTACAAGGGGGGGGGAGGGGTTCTTCTGTAAACTTTATTTCACAGACTTCTAGTCAATTTATAAAATCGGGATTTGCATCGGGATCTGATGCACATCCCGATCCCGGCTCGGGTTTGGGATTGGCCGGGATCGGGATGTATATTTTGAGTTCGGTATCAGAAGATTAAACAAAAAGACGAGTTTAAAGACGAGTAAAAACTCGTCTTTAAACAAAAAGAAGAGTTTTTACTAAGTACGAGGATCGAGTGCAAATTGTATGCAAACATCGAAGCACTGCCTATGATTTTTACGTAATTGATGATTTTTACGTAATTGAAAGTTTACGTAATTGATTTTTTAAAAGGAGTCTTAAAATGAGTTTGAAAATTAATCGAATTTTCAAAATCAAAATCCTTACCTTTTCGCTTATAGCTCTAACAATATTATAAAATATATTTAAATTTTACTAAATTTTTTTTACATTTTTAGTAGATAATTTATTTACTTTTAAGGTGTTAAATGCTGATTTGGAATATTTGGTGTGAACTTAAATTTTTGAGCAAAATTTATTAAATTTTTAGTGAGTTTTATATTTTATATGAAAACAAGTATATTTTGAAAATTAATCGAATTTCTGAAAACCTTGTCGATAATTTATACCACAACAATCAACAATATTTTTTATGCCGGATTAGACTCATTAAATTATATCTTCCTGATAAGTTTTTGTCTGATCTTTACCTGATTATTTGTTATTAATTCAAAAACATTCATTAAAAATTATTTAAGTATTTTTTTTCTTTTACATTGCGCATATGTATATCCTTCCACGGCATTCCCCAAACAATCGTTTAAATTTCTTCTTTATATTTAAATATTTTATCTCCATGTTGAACTTATTTCTAGCACCTACATAAAACATAAATTATAAAGTACATATTAGTTTAAAGTAATATTGTGAACGCACTGAAATATCTTTAATTTCCGATTAAGAAATAAGTCTAAACATATTTAAAATAAAGAATGGGAAAATTGAGGAGGAAATGTATACCTCATTTCAGCCAATATGGTATTAGACTAATTTTTAGAATTTATTACCTAATTTATACTTCAATATAATGTAAGTCCGTCTAAGTTTCCTCACAGCTTAGCAAATAAATCAAAAATGAAATCGATCAGTCGATGACGTGATGGTTATTCAGTTAACAATCATTAATCTGAGAGCTTTCAGGATCAAATCCTACATATCCATAAATTTTCTGGGATGGGTTCAGCCTTTTAAATGTAAATTTATATTATAGGACCTTATATTTAACTCTACCCCTAAATATTTTTATTATTATTTCACAATTTATTATTTAAATAAAAAGTGCAAATTTTTGACAAAATAAATAAATAATATTAATTTGTCTGTCTCTTCATAAAATTATTTTTGCACTTTATTTTCAGCCCTTTTTATTATTTGATTTAACCGACTTTCACATGCACTTTTAAATTTATTTTTAATTTTATTTTTTATATTTCGCAACATTGTTTGTCAATTTGCCCTTTTTTAAAGAAAAAATTAATTTAAATTTTTTTATTATTTTTTATTCATTTTAATTATAAAAATTTAAATTTCTCAAATATTTTTTATCATTTAAATAAAAATTTTTAATTGAAAGTCTCCCCCTCTCTTCCCTCCAATTGAAAATTGTTTTCCCTGTGGGGACAGGGAAAAATCCGTTTTGAAATCCGTTCCCGACTACCTGCGCGGAACGGATTTTAAAAACGGATCCCTCTGATAATGGTCTCACCCTATAAACAATAATAGTACCTAGTGTGAGAAATCGGATGATTATGGTAGTTGACTATTAATAACATTTCGATTGCCACCCATTTAAACAGTAAAGTCGAATTTCTACTAAATAGTTGAAATAACCCAAATAATTTAAATTAAGATAAAAAACAAATAAATTAAAAATTTCCAACAAATACCTCAACAGCATGAACAAAAATTTATTAATTTTTTGTTTACTTTTAATTCTTTTTATGATATTGAAAGTAAATTCAACACCTAATAAAAATTTTAAAAAAATATGTGGTTGCGTGCTTAAGACAAAGGTTCATAATAAATCTTTAGATAAGGTTAGTTTTTCATTTATTCCAAATTAGCTAAAATTTCCGAAATTTCGTGGATGTCGAAAAACCCATTGATTTTTAGGATATAGTGTAGTGTACCGGTGGTAAAAGTTCGGTACGTGACATATGTCATTCGATTCGTCTCGACGAGCTGAGTCGAACGGTACAACTCTCAACTTTAGGAAATGATTCTGGGCCGAGTTATAGGTCCCGAAAAATTGAAAAACCATAGGGGGGAGTAAGCTCGATTTTGGGTTGAAAAATTCGAATATGCAAATAATAGCTCATTCGAAAGAGCTCGTCGAGATGAGTCGAATGATACCAGAATCATCATGATTGAAAGAGTTTGGATAAAGTTACAACAAAAAAACAATCAACATAAACCTATGGGGCGTCGGCGAGGCGCTTGTGCAAAACCCCGCGCTTCGCGCGGGGTTTTGCGGCACGCGCCTCGCGGGGAGTCTACGGGCGATGGGTCTGGGCTCGTAACATAAACCTACTCCCATCTCCCTTGCTCTGAATGTACTTGGGGCTCCAGTAACAGCAAAAACCTCCACGTAGACCAAAGGTAAGGAGCTAAAACAAATGCTCATAACTTTGTCAAATCAAGTCAGATTTCGTTGATTTTGGTGTCATTCGACTCAGCTCGACGAGCTCTTTCGAATGAGCTATTATTTGCATATTCGAATTTTTCACTTCAAAATCGAGCTTACTCCCCCCTTTGGTTTTTCAATTTTTCGGGACCTATAACTCGGTCCAGAATCATTTCCTAAAGTAGGGAGTGGTACCATTCGACTCAGCTCGTCGAGACGAATCGAATGACATATGTTACATCCAGAACTTTTACCACCGGTACACTACACTACAGCCGATTTTTATATTGTCATGAAAATCCATACTTTTTCGAATAAAGAATTCGCAACCCCCAAATAAACAAAATATGATTAATATATCAGAAGATTTTTTATTATTATCTTAAATAAAAATAGTTTTTAATTACCCAATTTAGTAGGTACATAATCTATTAAAGTTTTCATAAAACAAGAAATTCTTACATTTCGATTACTGATGAACGGTTGGCAAAGAAGTTTTTCCCAGTTTAAGTAACAAGAAAATGTCAAAACTTATAAAATTTGATTTGTGTCAGTTAAGCGGATCACTTTCCTAAAATCTTTTCGAAATTCTTTGATGGGTTCGGGCAATTTGCTCAAATAAATTTTCCCACAAATTTTCCTTTATCTTTTTATAACTAGTCTAGGATTAACTATGTAGTAATTAAAAACTTCAATTTAAAAGGGTTCGAAAGGTTCAAGTAGTAAGAACCTCTTAGATGGGTGTAACAGTGATTGTTCTAATCAAAAAGTTGATGAGGATGAAATAAAAGAATCTAAAAAATCAAAGAAAAAAATTGGGCGAAGTAAATCAGAAAAAGATGCTATCGAATCAAGTAAAATTGAAATCGAAGACCTTAAAAATAAAAAGGAGGAATTAGAAAAGGAATTGTTAAATTTAAAAAGTGAAATAATAGAAATAAATGAAAATAATGAAAAAATTGATTTAAAGGGAAAAAGGCGCGTTAAATCATTTAATGATTTTTATCCGATCCCGGCTGATCGAAGAATTAGGTAAATTTTTGTAAAAATATGTTTAGATATAAATATATTTCTCTTTATATTTCCTATTTTTCCTTCAAAATTTTTTTTTAATTTTAGTTTTCATAAAGAAAACGCTAACAATGTTGGTGAGAGTATATTGAAGAAAAGCAAATATGATATGAATATGGGCTATTATGAATTTGATACAAGTCGACGTTCAGAATTATATCTAAAAGGTTTATATAATTAACCAATAAATCTTTTACATCCACTCAATAAAAGATATAATAAAGTTGGAATGGACTAGCTATCTCTCTTTCAGCTAATTCAAAAGTTTAGACAGCTGGTGCGAAATATCTTTCCTTGATCGGACCGGTGTATTACCTAGTATACAGCCTCTTACATACATAAACTTAGGATAAAAAAATATGTTTTACAATATATAAAATTTATTATTTATCATTTATTCTAAGGGAATTATGTCAAAAACAAAAAATAAAGCAAATTTATTTTTAAATTTAGAAGCAGCTGAAAGACGAAAAAAGAAACAATCATCTAGAACAAACAGTGCAAGTACAAGTAATTCAAATACAAAACCTTCAACTTCAGCGAATACTGAAAGCGATAAAGCAAATTGTAGTAAAAGCAATGAAATTGAAAATAGCGGGGAAATTACTGAAATTCTCCCTGGAAATTGCGAGAAATATTTACAAAATCACCATAAAGCAACGTTTGAAATTGAAACAATTTCTGAAGAAATACCTGTTGAAATTAATATGGAGAAAAAGAAAAAGGAGATTAAAGAGGGTAAAAAGATAAGAGCTTCTTTATCGGATTCTGGTAAAATTTATTGTTTTTAAATATTTTTTGTTTAAAATAATGTTTGGGGAATAAAACTCAATTGTCGTTTATATTTGGGATTTTTATATTTATGTGTTCTTTTATCCGAGACTACGACACGGATCCTGTACCCAAATGCTATCTCTATGAAAACAAAAGCTTTTTCATACCAAACATGTAAAGGGCTTCGCTCAAACAAAACAAGGAAATTTACTGTTAATATGCAGAACAAAATAAATCATAACCTTTACATAAATTGTTGTTAATTTCTTTAAAAAATATTTTTTAGAAATAGAGAAACCTTCAAATAAACATAAAATATTAAAATTAAACAAACATTCTAAAGCTTTAAATGATTTGAAAGAAAAATTTATAAAATTAAAACGTTTTTCGTCATTAAAAAATTTTTCATCTAAAGAAATTAAATTGGGAGGAAATAATAAAAAAGAAAAGGTTGAAACTGAACAAAGAAGCTTTTCTGAAACAAATTTAAAAGAAAAATATTTGGAAGAAAATAAATTAATTGAAAAAGGATCGTTAACTCCACTTGCTGAACACTATATTCTTTTTCCAGAAACACGCAAGTTTTTAGTTTTTATTGCTCTTGTTTTAGGGCCCCACACGCCCGAATATTAAACAAAAACAATTAGACATTTTTTATGTTATTTTGAAAAAATTGGATAAAAAATCTTGAATGAAAATTTATTTCGAGTTAACGTGGTTATCTAAAAAAACCACGATTTTAACGTGGTTACTTGTATTAATAAATATACATAAAGGAAGAACCCGATTAGGTTTAAGTCAACAAAGTGTGATGTTATATCTTAACGGGCTATTTTAATTATAAAATTTAAAAATAATTTTTAGTAAATCCATCTCCTTTAAATTATTCAGCAAAACCAAAAAAGAAAACTCCTTGGCAGATGGCTGTTGAAGCTGGGCGAAGAACTTTGGCTAAACAACGATCAAAGGAATCACAATCTTCTTCAATCGGAACTGTTAATTCTAATAATTTGGAGACTTTTGAGACCGAATCTATGTATTTTACACCTGTAACTAAATTTGACGACGATAACGAAGAAAATAATACAAAGGAAGGAAAAAAAGAAATTAAATAAATAATAAAATAAAAAATTATTAGAAAAAGATGGGGATAAATAGTTCAAATGGAATTAAAAAATAAATAATTTTTGATTAAGGACGGACAATAACTATTATAACAAAATATTTGCAAATATTATAGTTGTGGAGTGTTCCGACATAAAATTATTCTCCGCCCGACCTATCAAATTGAATAACCCCAAATATAGCTGCTGGAATATCGGCCCCAAATGTCGGCTGATCATTTTATATTTAATAAAAGAGTCTGATAATGTTTTAATAGCTAAGTCTCAGTTTAACACCTTTAAAACAAAGTTTTTTTATGGTTATTGTTCAGATATCTGGATTTAAAACACAATTATTGTCGAGCTCTTCTCCCTCACCGAACATTCTCATTAATTTAATATAAATATCGGATATGGGTACCAAAAAATTTGGATCCAGTTATCCGGGAGTTCCCCTAATCCATCAAAAATAATTACCACCTAACCCTTTTATTTATATTGTGTAACTCAATTTATTTAAAAAAGATTAATATTTCCATAACAATTGTTTCACTAAAATATTGTCAATAATTTTTTGGGCAAATTTAAATTTTATATTAATTATCTCTAATTTTAAAGAAATTTTATTTATTTTAAAATATTTCAAATAAAAGTTTATTCATTTAATTTTTAATAATAATAGATTTTAGGGTAAATTAAAGCACAAATTTGTATTTTTATTAATCACAATCTTTAACCTTAAATTCTGTATTGTACATTGATGCGCAATGCATTTGTTAAAATCTAGAATTAATTAAAATATATGAATTACTCTAGAGGAAAGATATAAAATTTTGTAAATAACTTTTACAAAAGGAAAAAAGGGAATTTTCTTCCAATTTTAGAATTTTAGTTCGAGAGTATTAAGTATTAGTGTAAATATTGGTAATATGATAGAAACCGATCCCTAAATTATGACAACACACCTCAAACTTTCAAGTTTTATCAAAAATATATTTTTAATTAAATGTTTACCTTTAAAATCTTAACGAGCTCCATTTGTACTTCCCTCTATTGTTGTGTCCTCAACTGTACTTCCCTCGTCTGTACTCCCTTCATCTGTGCTCCCTTCCGTAGGACTTTCGCTAGTATTATCCTCAATTGTAGTTTCTTGAATTGTAGTATCCTCGACTGTAGTTCCTTCCTCTGTGGTGGTTTCAATTTCAGTTGTTTCTGCCGGTGTAGTTGTACTTTCTACAATAATATTAAGTAAGAAATGTTTAACTGTCAGTAGTTTACGGATTCCTTTTAAGCATGGTAACTAAACTTGTTTAATTCTAACTAAGATATTAGTTTTGGCTAAAGCTAGTAACTCCTAGAAGTTAACAGCCATTGTCATCATCTGAGACTGTATGGAAATTCAGATCCGACAAATATAAGTAGAGAACAGGAAAAGATTCAAAACTAAAAAATACATGAAATTGAAAAAACCTAAAGTTCTCATTAAACTCCCATTTTTAAATACATAAATACCCAATTATATATTTAAAACAAAACCAGTTGAAGTTGAGGTTGGAACAGTGGGAGGAGGGCAAGGATAATATACACCACAAGGTTGAACTACAGGTACACGATAAGCATATCCTTGTGCAATTCCAGGATTTGCCTGTTGATATGTTGGGACTTAAAAATTTAAATTAAAATTTTATTTAATTCATAAGCATAAATCGTATATTTTTGAAATTACTCTGGGAACCTAATTTTTCTGTAAAGTGAAGGAGTACCGAGCACTTAAACGATTACGTTTAATAACGATTAGATCTCAATTCAAAATTTAATTTATCAATATATCTTTTCAAATCCAGCTCACAAGAGCACATAAGATTATTAATAATTTCGAAAATAATATGTGATTACTAACATAAGCTAGATTTAGTTCATCTGACTTAAAATCAACTTACAGCTTAATCACCCCTACAGAAGGACTTTCAGTTTTTATATTCAAAAATTAAATTTTTTTTAAATTTCTAAACCTTTTTGATGTCCCCCACCACCTCCAAGTCCATACTTATAACCACTACCTCCATAGCTTCCCCCGCCATAACTCCCTCCGCCATAACTCCCTCCGCCATAACTCCCTCCGCCATAACCCCCACCACCATAACCCCCATAACTTCCCCCTCCATAATATTCCAAGGAGAAAGGAAATATAATTGTCAAAATCATTGAAATGTAAGTAAAATAATTAGGCATTTTTAATTTATTTTAATTATATGTATTATTTTAACAATGTTAGCTAAATATAAAAATTATAAAAAACATTGACCGAGAGAAGAGGAATTTTATGAATTTTTGTTTAAAATTATAAGAAATATGTCGATTTAGAGGGGGAGGCACAGAGGGGAGGCTTTCTAGAGGGAAGCTGGAATATTTCTAAAAAGTGAACAATGCCTAGATAAATTCCAGATTGATTTAAAAACTGAATATCTACACAGTTTGGCAAGAATATTTATATATCCAAGAATAGTGAAAATATTTGACACTTAAACATATTTATGAGTAATTTTTTTAAGAGAAATTTTTTGTCATTTTACTTTTTTTAGAAAAAAGTTTATATTTTAAAATATTTTTCTTAGTCATTTCAAAAAAGTTGAAAATTATTTTTGTGTTATTTTAATCAAATAATGACATTTATGAATAAATTTTTTTAATAAAATTTTTTTTACAAAATTTTCATAAGTGACTATGTAGTAGTATGTACATATATGTAAATTAATCATCCTTGAAAATTTAAAAAATTAAAAAGTCATATTTTTCTTAAAAAATATTTTTGTTTCTTTTATTTTTATCTAACATTCATAATTAGAGCTAGGATTTTAGGCAAAATGCCTGTTTTTTTCCTAGATAGCCCTGATGCTGAAACATCCCACTCAGGTGATATTTTTTATGAACTCTGCTTTCAAACAACTTTTATCGTTGACTATAATTGCCTATTTTAAATTTTTCCGGCAAAAATCCCTATTATGCCTTTTTTAGACTATTTTGCATATTTTTACTAAAATTTATGCATATTTGGGCATTTTTTGAGGAATTTTTGTCTAAAGATTATTTTTTGGTGAAATTAATTTTTCAAAAAAAATTTTTCTTGAAGAAATTTTTTGTCAAAATATTTTTATTGTAAAAATATATTGAAATTATTTTCGGAAGCAAAATAATTAATATGAATTCATTTATAATTGTATTTCTTATCGTCAAAATTAATTTATTTAACATTTTATTGCTTAGATTCAAACTTTTTTATAGATTTTAGTCAATTTTTTGCAGATCTAGTGCAGATTTTAAGAAATTTTGCAAATTTTGCTTGCCTATTTTGGCCTTTTTCGGAGTTAGGTGCCTATTTTCGCAGTTTTTAGTGCCTTTTAAAAATCCTAGCTCTAACTATCATACATATATCACATCATTTTAGAGTAAAAATAAATTTAAAAAAGTTTAGTTAAGCAACTAAAGCATAAAAATTAAATAAATAAACTTTAATTTTAAACATTTTATGAATTCGCGCCCAATTTTTAATATATTTATTTGCAATAGTTAAATAATTTTTTACATTTAAAAAGGTTTATTTTAAATTTAACTGCTTTCCACATAAAAATTTTGAGTTACTTAAAGGATTTTTATGTAAGGTCTTGAATTATTTGATTTTAAATTTAAATTTTAGAGACGAGCCAAATTAATCAGTCAATTTTAATTTTCAAAAAATCTTCTCTGATTTTCAAAATTATGTAGATCAGTATTCCAGAAGATGCGTAATTTGAAATATTACCCATCGAAAATCGAATTTCGGGGCAGCCCTGTTTTCATTTCTTCAACATTACTTAATTTAATTGTCCGTTATACATATGTATTTCTCTGACAGAAATAAAATTTCGTTTATATTTAGGAGGAAATGAATAACTTTCTTTCAAATAAAACTACCAAGAACTACAACAATACTGTTAACGAAGAAGGTGAAGACACGAGTGACACAGTATCAATTCCTGATGTGTCTGAAATTTTAAAAGCAGCTGAAGCATTGAGGAAGGAATTGGGAACTAAAGACGTATCAGGTCTGTAAAGAGGAATCATACATAAGCATTAAAAATAAAATTTTGCTGTTTTTTACAGTAACCCCAAATATTCAGATATTAAACACTAAAATATTTAAAATATTTTTCTTAATTATTTCAACAAAACTGTTGCTAATTGCTCCCTAATCTATATTAACAGGATTAAACAAAATAAAGAAATTATTTATTAAAGTTTTTGTATCTTAATTTAAGAATTATGTCAAGACAAATATTCTTGCTATAGACAAAGCAATCTTGGCGATCGTTATTATTTTTGTATTTATTGCAAATTTGACTTTGCTCGTTGTTATGTTGATAGACATTTAAAGCGAAAGAGACATTCAATAAATAAAAAGGCTTTTGAGGGTTTGTTTTTAAATATTTTCGTGTATTTGTTGTCTAGCTTTAACATTTATTTTTAAATTTTTTGTTAACAAATAATGATTTTAACAAACAAAAAATTTAAAAGATTTGGAGGAGGAATAAAGCCAATATTTTCAGCTTATCCAGCAAATTAATTCAATATTTTTTATAATATTTATTTTTCAATATTTTCTAGACGCTGATAAAGGAGATATTAATGTTAATTCAAACTTTGTGATTAAATGTAAAGACACTGACGGATGTTTTACAAAAAGTGTTCAATTTAAAAATTACGTCTACTGTATTTATTGCAAACGGAGTCTAATTAATAAATCTAGTGTTCTTAATGTACATCTACAGTCGATATCACATTTAAACCATAAAGCTATATTTAAAGGTATTTTTGTAATGGAGAATTAGAGTGTTCGGGAATTTTGAATTTTTATAAAAATTCGTGAATTCAAATTTATAGTCGAAAATTTTAAATATTCAAAGAATTTAATTGAATAAACGATTCAAATAATTTAATAAATCTTTTGAAATTTTATACTGCAAAGGATGTATGTAAAGCTTAATTTTTGTCAATTTCATTCGTTAGGAGTTCAGGTTCTAAGTTTAAGCGTAGTGCTATGCATATTAGAGAGAAGTTAATCAATTTTAAAATTTTTAAGAAATAAAAGCCAAAAAATTCTAATAAAATGAAAGCTATTTTAATTTATATTTTTGTTTTAAGGACAAAATGATCCAATGAGTATTCCAAAAAATAATATTTCCAAACCAATAAGCAACGTTAATTTAGTTCATTCATCATCTGATGAAGAAAATAGAGAAAATAGTATTTGCAAGTTTTAATTAATTAATACTTTTATGTATATCTGAATTAAATTTATTTAAATTAGAATTTAAAAATTAACTAAAATTTTGATTTCGACATTTTGGGATTTTGAATTTTTTATATTACGTTATTCTTTACTAATCAAAAATTTCAGCTGAGCTTGATTTAGCTCAGAAATTAAGAAAATCAAACAATGACTTTAATATGTCCTTACCAGGAATCGCACCGACATGAAAACAAAATTTCCGATTTTGAGAAAGAATTCCAGATTTTATTCAATTCTCGATTCAGGGAATCAAAAATTCCCTACCCAGAAAACGTCGGGAATTTCCAATTTTTGTGAACTGGGAATTTTTTCGGTGCGATCCCTGGTCCCTACAGACTCAGCTATGTAAGATTAGAAATCCTTAAATAAAATCACAATATTTATTAGTTTCATCAAAATCAAAGGTCTTGAAGAATGGACAATCATTTACGCGTTATCTTAATCTTAAAAGGAAATATAAAAAACTGCAATATTGTGTTTACTGTAAACAACATTATAAAGGTTCTTGTGTTAAGGATCACTTAGGAAGAAAGAAACACAAAATGTTGAAAAGGGCTTTTGAAGGTAATAAATTTCAGTATACTATTATTATGTTCAAACAAATAATAGTGATTATTTCAATATCCTTTTAGACAATTAAGATTTTTAATAATAAACTTGCAAAATTTTTTTAAAATCATTATTAAACTCTATATAATTAAAACATATTCATGATTTTAAAATTTAGCAAAAAACATCGTCAATAATGCTGAGAATACAAGTACACAAACAACACAATTATTACAAGAAACAAATAAAGGTGGAATTTAAAAAAACAAATAAAGTTGAATTTCTCTAGCGCCCCTATCCCTCTATAGGGCGTTAGAGGGATAGGGGCGTTTTAGTCCCTAGTGTCATTTGGCTTTAAATAGTATTTTACAAAATTATTTTAACTATCTTTATTTCAAAAGATATTATTGTTTTTCAGAAAATCAAAATTCAACAACAAATACAATAAAAGCTAAAAACAATTATTATTGTATTTATTGCAAACGTTACTATCCTAGAAGAAGTATGAGATATCACGTGAAAACTTTCAAGCATATCAGACTGAAAAAAGCTTATAAAGGTTTAGCTTTTTGATTTATTATTCGAAAATCATTTAGTCTCTTTTACGAATTAAAGATATCCAATTTTATGTTTTATTTGAAAGATAATTCTTTTGTCACTTTTGTTGGTCAGAATAATTTTTCATATATAAAAGTAGATACAAATAATGGAGTAAATTTGCAAAATTAATACTCCAAGCAATTTTTATAAAGCTGCGTTTAGAATAAATTTTCTGCTTATTTTCAGAGTGCATAAATGATAAAAATATTCTAAAAAATAAAGAAAATGTTGAAGAAAAATATGAAAAAATGATTGAATCAACTGGATGCTTCAAGAAAAGCTCATTAGGAAATAAATATGCTTTCTGTGTTTATTGTCAAATAGATATTTCCTTCTTACGATTAATTAATTTAGAATATCATATGAAAACAACCAAACATGCTTTGGCAAAAAATGCTTTTGAAGGTAAATAAATAATGTAAATTAATTGAAAAGGTTTAAATTTTAAATCGGTTTTTTTTAATTTTTTTAAAATTTTAGATTTAAATAAAGTACAAATTTAATTTCGTAAGTACGGAAGTCGAGGCAAATGTTCAGTTAACTGTCTATCTGTCCGCAAAGCGAATCCGCTCTTTTCATTCATTTTCTTGTATTTTTTGCGTTGGGAGAAGTGCACCCCCTCATTTTCCGTTTTTAGCATTTTTCCTTCTCAATACATTATGTTTTCCTTTTCCTGCTTGCAAAATAAATTTTAAACATTTTAAGAGATAATTTAAAAATATTTTTAAAATTACATTTATTTTACAAATAATTAATAAATAAAATAATGGTACTTTCCTGTTATCCATTTTTTCTTCCTTATTTCTCAGCCTACTTCTGTACAGAATGGTCAGATTTTCCTTCTTTCTCAATTGACTCCGTTTCCCGGTGGCAACAAAGAAAAGAGTATTTTTTGCAAAGAACAGATTAATTTTTTTAGTCTGTTTTCTCCAACTATCTACTATTTCTCCAACTATGGAGAGATCTTGTTACAACTGTGGGGATGTTGCTTACGTGAGCGGGGATGTTGTTCCAACAGAAGTTGTTCCCCCATTTTAGAATAGAACAACTTTCTACATTTACAGGACAACTTCCACGTCATAGGGATAACTTCCCCTTTTGACAATTTATGTTTTATCTTTTTTGATTTTGAATGTTTTAAAAAATTAATCTGTTCTTTGCAAAAATGCTCTTTTCTTTGTTGCCACCGGGAAACGGAGTCAATTGAGAAAGAAAGAAAATCTGACCATTCTGTACAGAAGTAGGCTGAGAAATAAGGAAAAAAATGGAGGGCCGATAACAGGAAAGTACCAAAATAAATATTTAAATATGCCACTTTGATATTTTATAATTTTGGTGTATTTTTATAATTTTAATCTATTTTCAAATAATTCCTCAGTAGAAAAATTATGGATCCCATTGTTTGACGATCAAGCTCTTGATCAAAAATTTGATCAAAGAAAAAATCCCTATTACTAGTTCTTGAATATCTACATGGTTTCCAATTGTGCTATTTGAGAATGTTATCCAAAATTTATTATTGTAAAATAAATATATTTTTAAAAATTCTTTTAAATTATCTTTTAAAATTTTTAAAATTTATTTTGCAAGCAGGAAAAGAAAAACACACACAAAAAATGCAAGAAAAAGGAAGAAAAGAGCGGATTCGCTTTGCGGACAGGTAGACAGGACGTTTGCCGGAGGTCGATTTTAAAGTACAATACTTTCAAATAATGTACGAATCCGAGCCCTGGGCCATGTTAAATTTTCATATTAAAATACGGCTCTATCTTAGGACATGCGTCCCATGCTCATTTATGCGTCCCATGAAAGTTTATGAGTCCCATGGAGGTTTATGCGTCCCATGAAAGTATATGCGTCCCAAAAATAGTAAAAGCGTCCCTTCAAAATATATGCGTCCCAAAATTAATATAAGCGTAAAACAATTCGAGAACATTTTTTAATTTTATTAATGAAAATAAATATTAGTCCTTGAAAAGGTGGATTAAACAACATTCAGCAGGTTTAGACAACCTTCAGCGATACATAATAAAATATTTAAATTTCATTAATACAATTTAAAAAAGTTTACAAAATTCTCTTTCGCTTGTATTAATTTTAGGACGCATATAAATTCTCGGGCCGTAGCCGTGGCGCGACACTTGAGGATATGACTTTTGAGGACCAGACACTTGAGGACCGACTTTTGAGGACGCGACCTTTGAGGACGCGACTTTTAAGGACGCGACCCTTGAGGACGCGACTTTTGAGGATCAGACATTTGAGGATACTCTAATGTCAAAAAAAATTAAAAATGTTAATTTTACATTAGAAAATTTAAATTTTATAATTTTATGGCTTGCTCAAGGCCTAGCGAGCAAATAGTGATCGTTATTAAATATAATCATTTAAGTTTTAGAAGTAGTCCGTGTCCGTACGTGTTTTGTGTGTCCGACAACACAAAAACAAAACAAAAAAAAGTAATAATTTTTTGCTTTTAATCCTTTCTCTATCATCATTTGAATAGACAACAGGGAAATTAATTGAACGTATTGGCCTTACAAAACTTGGCAATTCCTATCTGACCTTCAGAAATTTTCAAAATTTTCGCCTGTGGCGCCAAAAAAGGAGAGATCTGGCTCATAAACCTCCAAAAATCTCAAAATCTATTAGTTTGTTATTCCAAACTTCTAAATCCTCTTTAAAGCCCCGCTACAATTCATATTTCTCATATTTTTCCAAAACTTTCTTAATCCTATATTCTTCCAGACATCAAGGTATTCTTCCGATATCCATTCGAATCCGCTGATATCGTTATTTGGGCGTGATATCGGAAGATCAATAGGTTAACCTCTTTTGTAAGGTTAACAAAAACTTGTCAAAAAAACTTTGTCAACTTTAACCTCTTAACCACTTAAGTCACGTACATAATAATGTAAGGCGGATATCATCCTGAAATCACGTGAACAATAATGTCGCTCTAAACTGTGCTAAGTAACGGAAGTTCCCAGAGAAAAGGCAAAGAACGCCACAAACGGCCATTCCCAGAGAGTTATTAGTCGCCCATTATCTAAGCTTAACATCGCCACTAACTTATCCTTGGGAAAGCAATAAGGAAGCAGGCTGGTGCATATAAGCTTTAATGGAATAGGCAAAGGCAGATCACTTCTTCATTCATTCAACAGAGTTGCCGGCCGGCTAATCCATCGAGTCTTATAGGGAAGAGCTCTCCCTATATTCCCCCACTGCGATTCACCTATTTCTATACTCTGCGGAGTTCACACAAGGACGCTTGCGAAACTCCTATTTAACAACCCCATTTAGAAGGCACTGGGAAACGGGACCAACCGCTTTACTATAATAACAATTAAATCCGCATTGATCAGACCACTTTTATCACCCGATATCTCCTTAACCCCAAAAAAACACGCGAATCGTAAAGAAGAAAACGGTTTCCGTCGTGTTCATCTAAATATCTGGAAAATTCACTATTTGCTCGCTAGACCTTGAGCAAGCCATAAAATTATAAAATTTAAATTTTCTAATGTAAAATTAACATTTTTAATTTTTTTTGACATTAGAGTATCCTCAAATGTCTGATCCTCAAAAGTCGCATCCTCAAAGGTCGCGTCCTCAAAGGTCGCATCCTCAAAGGTCGCGTCCTCAAAAGTCGGTCCTCAAATGTCTGGTCCTCAAAAGTCATATCCTCAAGTGTCGGGTAGCCGCCGTAGCAGCTTTCATAGGACGCATATACTATTTTTGGGACGCATATTAGAGCTGTCCGAGACCAAAATTTTTCCAAGACTCAAGACCCAAGACAAAATTTTTTCCAAGACCAAGACTCAAGATCAAGACCAAAACTCCAAGACTCAAGACCAAAAATAATACAAGACTCGAGACAATTTTTAGGTCCCATAGGTCAAATTTTTGGTTTATTTTTTGTTATTTTGACACGATCTCAGTCAACTTCTCAACTTCAGCACAATCACCTATAATTTCGAAAAATTTATGCAAAATTTAAAGAATTTTGGGGAATTTATACGGGTGGAAAATCAATGAGATATATTATTTCAGAGGATTTGGGTGGATTAATGGGATATTAGCGACATCAAAGGGTAAAGCCAAAATTTTGGCGACACCCAACGTTAGCCCTCTTTGAAACCGACCCCCTGGCCACGCCCTTGGATTAAGGAGGATATTGAGGTTTAAAGGGGAAAAAATCATCTCATCCCAGCGCCGCAGGCGAAAATTTTGAGAATTATGTAGACCACGAAGCCAAAAATCTTCCTTTTCCTGCGCCGCAGGCGAAAATTTTGAGAATTTTGGAAGGCCGTAGGCCAAAAAAATTCACTTTTTCAGCGCTGCAGGCAAAAATTTTGAGGATTTTAGGTGGCCAAGCACTAAGTCCAAAAAGGTCAAAAAACCAAGACCAAAAAATAAAACCAAGACCAAGACCGAAAAAAAAACCAAGAAAAGTCTTGGTTCCAAGACCAAGACCAAGAGTCTCGGACAGCTCTAACGCATATACTTTCTTGGGACGCATATACTATTTTTGGGACGCATAAACCTCCATGGGACGCATAAACTTTCATGGGACGCATAAAAGTTCATGGGACGCATGTCCTAAGATAGAATTAAATATTAGTCCTTGAAAAGGTAAATAGGATTTGTTTTTTTATAATATGATTGCGAGTTTTGTGTGGGAAGTTCGAGGTATATTTATATTTTTCTAGTCCTGACATTTATCGTAGTATATGAAACAAAGACATTCGGAATTATGACACACTCGAAATTATATGTTTTTGATAAATTCTAGTAATTTTTTAGCTATATGCAAAAATGATGTCAATAATACTGATCGTGATAACGAAGACGAAGTATTCAAAAATCGCAACAAGATAAGAAAAAAGTACAAAAATAATAAAATATTTGAAACAAGAGAAATAGGATTGTTTTATGAAAGTGATTCTAGTTTATCTTTAGACGAAGAAAGCAATGCAGCTAAAATTGCCTCGCTTATGAGCCAAAAAAGAAAAAGAAAAGTGCATAATTATTCAAACTTTTGATTTTAAAAAACGGAAATGTGATACAAAATTCTGATAAAACTTTATGAGTAAAATAACGCATCATGTTACTTAAGATTTATTAGTTTAAACAAAACTTTATGAATTGAAAACTTATGAGTCCAATAAAGGCTTGTGTCTTTATGAGAACCAAACTTTGTGGATGGTACTATGGAAATCACTCTCTCTTTTACGTTTCAAATTTCCATGTCCATTTAAGCTTTTTCTATTTGCTTTTTTCTTAATATCCATAAATTTGTATCAAAAAACGTATCAAGCATTGGAAATCTAGCCATTAGTTCAAAGCTTGTTCCAGAGTGTTTCATTGGTTTTCAAGAGTGTATAGAAGTAGAAAAGAAAAAGAGAATGTGAAATACAACACATTTTCTCTAATGAATGAAAAAAATTGATTAAATTTTAAATCCCATCAAAACTTTTTAAATTTTATGGACATTTTGTCCGTCTATTTTCCAATTCCTTGGTTTAATTACCCAAGTTTAAGGTATGTAATCAATACTTACTTGGGATAAATTTTGGAAATGTATTTCGAAAGAAATACTTAAAATTGATTGAAAAATTTAAAAAGTTTTTAAAAACTTTCATCCAAAATTTTGAAAATAAACTTTTTTATAAAAGTATTTTCTATTATGTATAGAAGTAGAAAAGAAAAAGAGAAAGTGAAATACAACACATTTTCTCTAATGAATGAAAAAAATTGATTAAATTTTGAATCCCATCAAAACTTTTTAAATTTTATGGACATTTTGTCCGTCTATTTTTCCAATTCCTTGGTTTAATTACCAAAGTTTAAGGTATGTATTTCTATACTACTTGGGATAAATTTTGGAAATGTATTTCGAAAGAAATACTTAAAATTAAATTAAAATTTAAAAAGTTTTAAAAACTTTAAGCCAAAATTTTGAAAATAAACATTATTATAAAAGTATTTTCTATTGAGTATTGAAGAAGAAAAGAAAAAGAGAATGTGAAATACAACACATTTTCTCTAATGAATGAAAAAAATTGATTAAATTTTAAATCCCATCAAAACTTTTTAAATTTTATGGACATTTTGTCCGTCTATTTTTCCAATTCCTTGGTTTAATTACCCAAGTTTAAGGTATGTAATCAATACTTACTTGGGATAAATTTTGGAAATGTATTTCGAAAGAAATACTTAAAATTAAATTAAAATTTAAAAAGTTTTAAAAACTTTCATCCAAAATTTTGAAAATAAACTTTTTTATAAAAGTATTTTCTATTATGTATAGAAGTAGAAAAGAAAAAGAGAATGTGAAATACAACACATTTTCTCTAATGAATGAAAAAAATTGATTAAATTTTGAATCCCATCAAAACTTTTTAAATTTTATGGACATTTTGTCCGTCTATTTTTCCAATTCCTTGGTTTAATTACCCAAGTTTAAGGTATGTATTCTATACTACTTGGGATAAATTTTGGAAATGTATTTCGAAAGAAATACTTAAAATTAAATTAAAATTTAAAAAGTTTTAAAAACTTTAAGCCAAAATTTTGAAAATAAACATTATTATAAAAGTATTTTCTATTGAGTATTGAAGAAGAAAAGAAAAAGAGAATGTGAAATACAACACATTTTCTCTAATGAATGAAAAAAATTGATTAAATTTTAAATCCCATCAAATCATTGTAAATTTTATGGACATTTTGTCCGTCTATTTTTCCAATTCCTTGGTTTAATACCCAAGTTTAAGGTATGTATTCTATACTACTTGGGATAAATTTTGGAAATGTATTTCGAAAGAAATACTTAAAATTAAATTAAAATTTAAAAAGTTTTAAAAACTTTAAGCCAAAATTTTGAAAATAAACATTATTATAAAAATATTTTCTATTGAGTATTGAAGAAGAAAAGAAAAAGAGAATGTGAAATACAACACATTTTCTCTAATGAATGAAAAAAATTGATTAAATTTTAAATCCCATCAAATCATTGTAAACTTTATGGACATTTTGTCCGTCTATTTTTCCAATTCCTTGGTTTAATACCCAAGTTTAAGGTATGTATTCTATACTACTTGGGATAAATTTTGGAAATGTATTTCGAAAGAAATACTTAAAATTAAATTAAAATTTAAAAAGTTTTAAAAACTTTAAGCCAAAATTTTGAAAATAAACATTATTATAAAAGTATTTTCTATTGAGTATTGAAGAAGAAAAGAAAAAGAGAATGTGAAATACAACACATTTTCTCTAATGAATGAAAAAAATTGATTAAATTTTAAATCCCATCAAATCATTGTAAATTTTATGGACATTTAGTCCGTCTATTTTTCCAATTCCTTGGTTTAATACCCAAGTTTAAGGTATGTATTCTATGTATTTCGAAAGAAATACTTAAAATTAAATTAAAATTTAAAAAGTTTTAAAAACTTTAAGCCAAAATTTTGAAAATAAACATTATTATAAAAGTATTTTCTATTGAGTATTGAAGAAGAAAAGAAAAAGAGAATGTGAAATACAACACATTTTCTCTAATGAATGAAAAAAATTGATTAAATTTTAAATCCCATCAAATCATTGTAAATTTTATGGACATTTTGTCCGTCTATTTTTCCAATTCCTTGGTTTAATACCCAAGTTTAAGGTATGTATTCTATACTACTTGGGATAAATTTTGGAAATGTATTTCGAAAGAAATACTTAAAATTAAATTAAAATTTAAAAAGTTTTAAAAACTTTAAGCCAAAATTTTGAAAATAAACATTATTATAAAAATATTTTCTATTGAGTATTGAAGAAGAAAAGAAAAAGAGAATGTGAAATACAACACATTTTCTCTAATGAATGAAAAAAATTGATTAAATTTTAAATCCCATCAAATCATTGTAAACTTTATGGACATTTTGTCCGTCTATTTTTCCAATTCCTTGGTTTAATACCCAAGTTTAAGGTATGTATTCTATACTACTTGGGATAAATTTTGGAAATGTATTTCGAAAGAAATACTTAAAATTAAATTAAAATTTAAAAAGTTTTAAAAACTTTAAGCCAAAATTTTGAAAATAAACATTATTATAAAAGTATTTTCTATTGAGTATTGAAGAAGAAAAGAAAAAGAGAATGTGAAATACAACACATTTTCTCTAATGAATGAAAAAAATTGATTAAATTTTAAATCCCATCAAATCATTGTAAATTTTATGGACATTTTGTCCGTCTATTTTTCCAATTCCTTGGTTTAATTACCCAAGTTTAAGGTATGTATTCTATACTACTTGGGATAAATTTTGGAAATGTATTTCGAAAGAAATACTTAAAATTAAATTAAAATTTAAAAAGTTTTAAAAACTTTAAGCCAAAATTTTGAAAATAAACATTATTATAAAAGTATTTTCTATTGAGTATTGAAGAAGAAAAGAAAAAGAGAATGTGAAATACAACACATTTTCTCTAATGAATGAAAAAAATTGATTAAATTTTAAATCCCATCAAATCATTGTAAACTTTATGGACATTTTGTCCGTCTATTTTTCCAATTCCTTGGTTTAATACCCAAGTTTAAGGTATGTATTCTATACTACTTGGGATAAATTTTGGAAATGTATTTCGAAAGAAATACTTAAAATTAAATTAAAATTTAAAAAGTTTTAAAAACTTTAAGCCAAAATTTTGAAAATAAACATTATTATAAAAGTATTTTCTATTGAGTATTGAAGAAGAAAAGAAAAAGAGAATGTGAAATACAACACATTTTCTCTAATGAATGAAAAAAATTGATTAAATTTTAAATCCCATCAAATCATTGTAAATTTTATGGACATTTTGTCCGTCTATTTTTCCAATTCCTTGGTTTAATTACCCAAGTTTAAGGTATGTATTCTATACTACTTGGGATAAATTTTGGAAATGTATTTCGAAAGAAATACTTAAAATTAAATTAAAATTTAAAAAGTTTTAAAAACTTTAAGCCAAAATTTTGAAAATAAACATTATTATAAAAGTATTTTCTATTGAGTATTGAAGAAGAAAAGAAAAAGAGAATGTGAAATACAACACATTTTCTCTAATGAATGAAAAAAATTGATTAAATTTTAAATCCCATCTGTGGGCGAGGGATTTGTTGTCGAGGAACACAGGTCCGTTGAGGTCAGACCAGCCACGCGTTGTTCCAAGTTCCCTCGGCACAAAAAGGAAAGAGTTGTTTCGGCACGTGCAGTCGACTGTTGAACGGTCGACCAATTGTCCTTTCGGTCAATTGTAGTCGACTGCGAACAGTCGATTGTGTTGTTGTTGAAAGGGCGATTGCACAAAGAGCACGGCCAAAACTAGTCGACGGCCAAATAGTCGACTGTTGTTCGCTGGAAGGGCGATTGTTGAAAGAGCAGGCCAAATGTAGTCTGCTGAAGGTCGATTAAAATTTAATCGACCGTTGTCACCAAAAGCACTTGCAGGGCGATTGAACAAAGAGGAAAAGGGCGACTAAGCTCAAAGAAATAAAACAAGCAGCGAATAAAAATATTTATTTTCCAAAGGCAGCCAAATAATAATAAAAGCGAACGAACACAAATAAATCAATCGGAGGGGCAATAAAATAGAGTAAAAGGCACGTACAATTAGTTAAAGTAAAAGGGACACAAATAAATGTAAAACTGGGAGCAATGCGAACGAATGAACTGAACTGAATATAAGGTAAAGGCAAGTGCTTAAATAGTAGTCGGCTGGTCTAGCCTGGGGTGTGGCTTGTATTCCGACCAGCCGAAGAGAAAAAATGGGCGTGGTTAAAATGAGGGAGAAAGTTAAACAAAAAATAAAATAAAACCCAGAGGGGCCAAAAGATCAACGGAAAAAAGTCGCCTGTCGGCGACACTCCCCCCCACAAAGGTCGACTATTTAGTCGACTCCTTCTTTAATTCTTCTCTTCTTCTTTCTCCATAATCGCACTTGCAAAACTTGGTCGAAGAGAAAGCAATCCCTCGAAACGACGCACATTCTTCACAGACATTTCGTAACCGTCAAGCAACGCTGCTGATGTTGGTGACAAACTGTTTCGTCGTTTGTTTGAAGTAAGTAGTCGCCTGGCACTTTTGCTGAGTAATTGGTCGTCGATGACGATAGCTTTTATTGGTTGCTGAAGAAAGTTGTCGCAACGAATGAAGAAACGTTCTAATTCTTGTGTTGTCCATGCACGGTGCGGGGCTCGTTTTTTATCGTCGTTTGGCAGTTTTTTGATGAGTTTGCCTGACTTGGTGTTTTTCTCCTTCTTTTGTTGTTCGTAGATTTCTTTAACAAGCTGCCACGTGTTGGGATGAGCAAGGTGAGATGATTGAGAGACGTTCTTCACGTGATTTACATTTCCATCCAAAAACATTAAATAGTCTTGCATTTTTCCAACACGTTGCTGCATCATGGTGCGCCAATTCTTTAAAGTCAAAGGTCGCTGCATCTCCATTTCTTTTAGCTTTTCTTTAGTTAAAGTTTTTCCATCATATTGCAATGAGTCGGGGTCGAGCACAGAGCAATAGTCATTGGCAAGCGGACGTGCTATTGGTAGACCACACAATTCTTTTTCATAGAAAGCCACACTTTTCGCACGTGCTGTTTTCTGCTGAGTTGTTGCTGCAAATTTTGACACCATTTCCTCCATCATTTTCTTTGGTGCTGCTTTCTCAGTTATTGTAGGAGCAACAAACAACGTTGTCGTTTTTTTTAACTTTTTAGTTGTTGGTTGAATTGTTGTCGGCACTTGCTGATTGGCTTTAACAAATGTTGGCAGCAGAAAGTCGTCTGTAATTTTGCGACGGGCAAATTGAGGTGCACATGCAGGTGATGGGCTGCGTGGAGGTGAGAGAGATACGGTACTCACTTCCTCTGTTGTCTGCACTGGTGCGGTCGTTGTTTTAACAATTGCTGAGGCAGTGATGATTGGTTGCTGCTTGCTTTCACTATTGGTTGTTGTTTTAGGTGTAGTAATAGTAGCAAGACGTGCTGTTGTTGTTGGGCAGAGTCGTTCTTTTCCCAATTTTTTTATTAGAGCAGCTTTTGCGCGACGTGCAGCCAGTTTGTCTGGTAGTCCCAATTTTTGACGCCAAGTCTTTCGTTTGTATCCATCATTGTAGAAAGGGCACATGCTGTCTCCAGGGCGATGTCCAATCGGGTTGCTTCCTTTGCTGTCACACACGATGCAAAGTGATGGAATAGGCATTAATTCTAATTTTAATTTCTTTCGCTCTGAAGAAGAAAGTTTTTCAATTTGTGCTTGTGCCATTATTGAAATGTCAAAGTTTAAAGTAATTTGAACGTTCAAAGCGCGATAGTTGTGAGGCGGAGCCCAAAGTTCGATATCAAAAAACATAATAGGGGTGGCGCAGGCAACGTTGCAGCAAAATAAAGATAGCACAATGCCGATAAAAATTGAAATTGATGAACACATCTGGCTTGGCCTTTCTTTTGTTTTTGTTATATGTTGAGTGGGCGGCGCATGTCGTTCAGAGAAAGATAGAGTGTGTGGCCAATGTTGAGTCTGAGTACAATGGATCGAAGAGTGTGTAGGCACATGTTGAGTCTGTGTGCGACGAGTAGGAGAGTATGCAGGCACATTGCTAGCATTTTCGTTAGTAGGCACTTGCTGATGAATAATCGACCGCGGGCGATTATTATGAACAGTCGACCGTGGGCGATTGTTGTTTATAGTTGACCGTGGGTGTGTAGTCGATTGTGAATGATTGTTTTGAGTAGTTAACTGCGGGCGATTGTTCATTCCACGGCGGGTAGTCGATTGTGAGTTCCTAGTCGGCTGTTGAGTAGTTGACTGAGCATTTCGGCGCACGTTGCGATTGGCGTTGCGATTATTGAATAAAGTTGTTCCAGCCATAGGTTCTGTTGGTACAGACGAGTCCAATCGGTTAAATCCACCATTATCAAACGGTTCAACGTTGTTTCTAGCTTTTCGATATACCATAACCGGTGAGATTGGTATTGTTGGTAGTTCTCGGGTCCCACGTTCATTTCGTATTGGTGTAGAAGTTCTATTAGTTGCCGACAGTGGAGTAGCATGTCCTCCACCAAACGTCCAATCAGACCAAGTGCCATGTTCCGGTTGAGCACTAACATCTTCAGAGTGTTGCTCACTTTCACGTGCTGTTTGATCAGAGTTGACCCAATAAATTCTTTCTGGTGGGATAAGTTCATAATGTCGTTCTCCTTGTCTCCAGCATGCTTTCCCACGGTTGCGACGTAGTGATTTAGCACTTGATCCACGAAATCCATGTCGGTTCTCACGTTCCAGAGGGTTTCCAAAAAGCATGCAGGGTAGATCTGGTCTGATCAATGTAACACCTTTGTTCCAGTAGTGACGGTAGACGGTGCAGTTGGGCATTATCAGTTCCTTGTTGGCAGGTAGCTCAGTAAATCCTGCAAGTCCTGCTGGTCGTCGCAAAGTTCTTTTAGCAGTTAACACCTCAAGTCCGGCATTTCCGGTTTCCATAAGTTTGGCAATTGCTACTCCTGCTTCGAACTGAGTTTTGTCGTCGCAATTCCATCCAAAATGGTGATAGTCCAACCAACGGTCCAATCGGGCTGGAGTTGTTTTGACGTTGTTGTGAAGGCGCATCATATTGATTAGTAGTTTTTCCAAGTTCTCCAAGTTGTTGAAATGATTGATGGATGGCATTCTGAGCTGAACTTTTATAGCCAAAAAGGGGCGTGGCCATTGATAAAAGTTAGTCGTTGTTAAGTTGGCAAGCAAAGTAGGCGGTGCCAATTTTTGTAAGTGGGTGTACCAAGCTTTCACATAAGTTGTTCGAGACTCGAGACAAGAAGTCGAGGTTGTCGAGACATGCATATTCTTCCATCTTCTAAGTCGAGATTCGAGACCATAGTTCACATAAGTCGAGGTTTGCATATTCTCCCGTCCGTAGGGCCCTCCCGGCGCCTGAGTTGCGAAGCAAAGTGAAAATAGTGTGATGAGTAGCACGAGTCGAGCTGCGGCCTTCCAGGCTCGAAATACTGGGTTGAGGCGCACAAAGAGATACAGTAGTCCAATTCCAATAATGAGTGCGAGTAGTAGGGAGGTGATGCTTGAGAACGAGGTCAAGAGTGTTGCCGATACTCTTGGGTCAAATCCAGTGTCCCACCAATTGCCTGAGGGTAAATCCAGTGTTTCTGAGTCTCGGTGTCCATGTTGAAATCTTCTCTTGATTGGCACGTAGTAAAGGTCTCCAATGAGTTCAAAGTTAGTTTCTCCTGCAGGGCAGTCAACACGGCAATTGGTCCGGATTTGAAAATGGTCAAACGGTAGATTCTCTTTTCCAATAGTTCCATTTGGTGAGCATCTTGCTGAAAACACAGTTCCATCAGCACATTCAATGTTAGCAAGTGCATTTCCACGGTCTGTTGAACAAGTATATTGTAGCTGGGCTCCACTTTCACATTTGTAACATCCAGTGAGGTTGTGAACTTGAACAATACAGTGCGAGTCTTGAAATTCCAATAGTAGTTCCAAATGCTTCATTTGCACATGTAGTTGTAGCGGTGAGTATCCATAGTCCGCATAAACGTTTCCTCTCTCGTTTCTAAGTTGTAGTCTTGCCACACTGAGTGGTAGTCTCACTGTTGAGTCATGTAGTATTCTCTCAAAGTTCAAGTCACGGCAGCTGCAGGCGACAGCTCCAGAGTCATGGTCGAAGATACAGTCGACGCAAACTGTATTCGATATGCTGCAGTTAAACATTCTAGCGTCTGATTCAGTTGCACAATCCAAGTCTCTCGGTATATTCTCCACCATTGCCACGCTGGTCCCATCAGTGATGAATTGCCGGTTCAAGACTGGTGCCGGGGGTGCAGCGACAGCGATTGGTGTCACAGAAACGTTGTTCCAGTTAAAAGTCATTCCAGGGTGTAGCACAATTGAGTCCATGAGAGGTTTTTTGCCACTGACCTCTAGTTGTAAACTTGCGTGTATGTTGAACTCCCATGTCGGACAAGTGATGAGTTCAAAAGTGTTTCCAGTAGTTGGACGAGCAAAGGTCCGGTAGAACAGGCATGCACTCGTAGGTAGGGCGCATCCTTGAAACCAAAATGATGAGCTTGGTTCACATCGCGAAATTCCAGGTAAACTGTTGACTTCTCGTAGTTCTGGTATAACTGTTGACGGTCTGACTGTTGCACAGTAGTTTTCTTTGCATGATCCACTAGTAGGACATCTCTTGACAGCAAGTGTTTCCATAGTGTAGCTCCGGTACCATCCCTCGGATTTCGGCACACAATCCATCGTGAGGGCATCTACTATAATACTCAAAGTTCCCAACGCAATTCCATGTTCGTTCCTAAGTAACAAAGTAGTTGTTTGGCCTTTTGGTAGCAAAGTTAATGTTGTGGCATAGTTGAGCACACAAGATATTCCTGTCGGTCCTCGTCGGCAGCTTTCTGACTTCGTTGTAACTGCCACGGTATTGGAGGAATAAGTTTGACTGGCCAAAGTGAGTAGCACGACCAAAGGTATCCAATTTGAGGGTGCGGGTCGTCTACCAAGTATCCGGTCCAGGTGAGCACGTCTCCATTCCTGTCCGGTCTGCTGTAAGTTGCGGCTTGCTAAGTTCAATTGTTGTCTCACAATTCGAGCCCTTGCTGCGATTCCTGTAGTTCTGGCTAAAGTTTGAGCTTTCTGAGTAGTTTTCCTTGTACAAAGTGTTCCACATCCCACTATACAGTAACATATTGACATAAGTGCACGAACATTAAAGCTAAAAATTCTTAGTAGACATAGTAGACATCCGCAACAGCAAATAGTGAAGCTCATGACAAGTCCTGTCAGAAATGCTGCCCATCTTGGACTGCATGTTGGGTTGGCGACGTGGTCAATACAGAAGAGACAATCGATCAGTGAACAGTCTCCTATTGCTGGGCAAGTAGTGTGGACGGCACATGTCTCGCTGGTAGTCGTCCAGAAGTAACTCTTGCAAGTGTAAGCTTGTAGTAACATTTCCTGCGGCAGTTCATAAGTCACGTTCGGTGAAGCTTGTCGTATTAAGCAATCTCCTTCACAGCAAATTTCCATTTTCGTTATTTGTGGTGGTGTGCTGACCAAAATTCCTTTATTCGAACAAGTTAGTAGACATTTAGAGCAATCCACCAAAGCTGCGACTGGAGCTAGCAAGTTGAGTACACAGATGATTGCCAAAATCCATGGTGTAATAACAGTCAAAGTTGTTTTCTGTTTTGCTCTCGGTCGAAGATTCCACGTCTTAGTGGTTAGTTGTGTAGTTGGCTTTGCCTGTTGATCCTTCTGATGATCAGTTGACTCTAGTTCCTCAAGTTCTTCCATTTCAAGTGCTTTGTCTCCAGGTTGTCTCTGAGTAGTTTCCAATTGTTCTGTTTCATGTTCTGGCTCTTCTGAAGTTTCTTTCTCTTGATGAACCCGTGTTGAGCATTCCAGTGGGTAAAGCTTCGAAACTGGTCGAGTAGTGATGTGACCATTCGGTAGGCGGAGTTTCACACTTCTAATGTTCGGTGTTGTTCCATTTAGTTCTGTGACACGTGCTAGTTGCCAAATATTGCGTGGATGAAGTTCATCTCCAATGAGCACCACTTCTCCAATTGATGGTGGTCGGCATTGCTTGAGGCGAGGTCCTTTGTGTTGCCAAGCTGATCTTTCTCGAAGCATAGTCAAATATTCGGTGTGCCATCGGTCCCAAAACATTTCCACTGCTTCTTGTGTTGATTTCCACCAAGATATAATTTTGTCCTCTGGCGGTGCCTTGCGGTCATGTTCGTTGTAGTCGACTTGAGCAACTGGTAGATCAATTTGAGCACCAGGTTGAACAAGGTCGATGGGTCTGAGTGGTCGAGGTGCATCCATTTCCTCTGAGACATAAGCAAGTGGCCGATGGTTGATGACTGCTTCCACTTCCGCAGTGAAGGTTGATAGTTCGTCGTAAGTGAGCACACGTCTTCCCAAAGTTCGCATAAAGCAGTTCTTGACAATAGCCACCAGGCGTTCATAAAATCCCCCCATCCAAGGGGAAAGTTGCGGGATAAAGAGCCATTGAATCCCTCGAGTGTTGTTATCCATTTGTTCAGCTTCTTGATCTGATGGCGGTGGGCAAAGACGAAGTAAAGCTTTGTTGGCAAGCACGAATTGTCGTCCGTTGTCGGAGATTATTTTAGACGGGCATCCTCTTCTGCTTACAAGTCGTCGAAGAATGTTGGTAAAGGATGCTGCTGTAAGGTCCATTGTTGGTTCCAAATAGACTGCACGAGTAGACAAACAGGTGAAGAGCACAATCCATACTTTCACAGAGCCGTTGCCCAATTTTGCTTTGGTTGGTCCTAAGTAGTCGCATCCCACTGATGAGAACGGTCGTAGACGGTTGACACGATCTGCTGGTAGTGGCGGCATGCCCGGTCGGGCATAAGGGTAAGAGCACATGCGAGCACATTTTGGGCAATTCCTAATCACTTTCTTCACTAGTCGACGTGCATGTGGTGTCCAATAAGTTCGTAGAAATTCTCCAAGAGTCCAGTCTACACCCATGTGCAGTAGACGTTCATGTATTTGGTTGACCATCAGCAATGTTATTTGTGCTCCAGACGGTAGTATGATGGGGTTGACCAAGTCGGGGTTGCCCTTGTGATTGATAATTCTAGTTGCAAGCCGGTAGATTCCATTGTCGTCAATGTATTTCCTCAGATCACCTAGTTGATCCATGTAGTGTTGCTGAGCTTCCTTGATGAGTAGTAGACGAGCACTCCCCAGGTCAGACACGGTAAATTGCCCTCTCTTAGTAATTTTTCCCATAAAGCGAAGAACATAAGCTGCGACTCTAGTTGCTTTGTCCATAGTTGAGTACCGGCTAAGATCAATTGTAAGTTGGTTCCTTTGAGTCTGATTTGATGCCAAATAAGTTCCTGAAGTACACACATCTAATTCTGGCAGCGGCGAGTCCACTTCGGTTGCCACTTGGAAGGTCAACTCCTCGGGCCATTCCTCAGGCAAGCGCACGAGCCAATCAGGTCCCTTCCACCAAAGTTGACTTGCTGACAGTTCTCTTGGATTGAGTCCTCTAGTTGCCAGGTCTGCTGGATTTTCTGAAGTCCGAACGTAGTGAAAAGTACAATCTGTGTGTTGTCTGATTTCCTTGAGTCGCCGTTGAACAAAGACTGGTTGTTGTTCCTTCGATTGTAGCCATGAAAGTGCGATTTGACTGTCACTCCACACGTGACATTCTGAAATGAGTCCTTGAAGTTGTTTTTCCACAAAAGTTTTAGCGCGAACTCCAATAAGTAGCGCAAGTAGTTCAAGACGTGGCACAGTAAGTGACTTTCCAGCGGCCTTAGGGCATAGTCGTCCCTTTGAGAAGATGAGTTGACAGTTGACCCAATTTCCAGTAGTAGTTCGCAGGTAGACGGCAGTTGCAAAGGCTAATGTTGAGGCATCCGCAAAAATATGTAGTTGACAAGTTCTTTCTGCTCCTTGAGTACATCTGCGGGGTACATGAATTGTTTGACCCATCCAGGCATTAGTGATATTCTTCCATTCCATAACAAATTCTTCTGAAAGTAGTGAGTCCCAAGTAATTGATTCTTGCCAAAGTCCTTGAGCAAACAGTTTAGCACGGAGCAGACAAGGTGAGATCAGTCCAGCAGGGTCGAAAATTGAGTGAACCACTGAGAAAATCATTCTGCGTGTTGGGTGTCCACTTGGTAGTTGCGGGAAGTCAAACACAAATTGATCCTTGTGAGTGTCCCATTTGAGTCCCAAAAATTTGTTGACTGGTCCATCCAATTTGTCCTCTTCTGGTAGTTGATTATTGACTTCGGTTGAGTTCGAAACAAATTCTCTGATGTTCATTCCTGCCTGTTGATAAATTGCTTTGACTTGATGATATTTGTTGATTGCTTCCTCAGGTGAGTCGCATGCTAGTAGTTGGTTGTCGACGTAGAGGTTGTCGATCAGTGAGTTGGCAAATTCTCCACAAGATTGTAAGTGATGGCGAACAACTGCTGCTAAAATAAACGGTGACGAGATGACTCCGAATCCAACAACAGCATATCTTCGGATAAGCAAATTGTCTGGGCTAAGTGGTTTGTTGATGTCCTTGAGCCAAAGTATTTTGCACACTTCACGGTCAATTCCAGGGTCGAGGTAAATTGACATGAAGGCCTTTTCGATGTCTCCAACCAGAGCAATTGCTGGTAGTCTAAAGCGAAGAAGCACTCCAACAAGGTCAGGTAGTAACACTGGTCCACGGTATAAACAGTCATTAAGTGATGGTTGTCCTCTAGGATGAGCACTTGCATCAATCACAATTCTCAATTTGTGGGTGATCACTGGGTGATGAGGCAGAAAACATTCAATTCCTTCAGGGTTGCGTCTTGCTGGTTCCAGCATTCCTCTCTTGACTTGGTCCTCGAACACTTCGTTGTATTGTACCAAAAGGTCTGGTCGTGCTTGGAGGTTGCGCAGTACAGAAGATAGTCGGCTGTATGCCATTCTGAAGTTTGATGGTAGCTGCGGGTTGGGGTCCACCCACGGCCATTTGACTGAGTAGTGTCCATCCGGTCGTTGATGGATTGATTGTTCGAAGAGAATAACTGCTTGTTCGTCGTCGTTCTGAGTTGGGTCCTCGCGAATTCCAATTCCCTCGAGACCGAGCCATTCTTCCACTTGGTTCTTTGATGGCACTTGCTCTTCGTTGCTTTGATGTACTGCTATCATAGACACAGATTTGTTCAGGTTGTTAGTTCTAAAAGTTGATTCTCCTCCAAGCATTTTGCCAAAGACGGTTTCAATAAGGTAGAGTCCAGGTGATATTGATTTCCAGTTAATAAGATACTTCCAAAATTGACGGATCCCAATCATAATTGCTGGAGCCTCGTGCGAAATTGTTACGGCGTCTTTGAAGTCGGCCCCAGGCATAAATTCCTTGCTGTCATCCCAGTGAACAGTATTGAACGGGTTGGTTATCTCTTGAACACGGTTGAGCACACAATTTTCCCATGTTCCATCTGAACGTTGCATTCTAAGTTCGTACATTGGCGAGTGAAATTTGAGCGGGTCATTCATTGAGCCTCCAAAGGCTTCAACTTCCATTTGTTCGGCACCAACGCGCGGCGGGTGCAGTTCATCCACAAGAGCCTTTGTGATGTAACTGGCCATACTGCCTGGGTCGAAGAGTACACAAACTTTTTTCTTTGTTCGGCGTCCACGTGATGTAACCATTATATGACGAGTAAGTAAAAGAGCATTCTTCTTTGCTGGACCACTTGTATGAAGACTGAGTGTTGAGGCTGGTTCCTCTAGTTTGTTCTTGTTCTGTTGTGCAACTGTAGTTTTAAACGGCTTTAGTTTAGTAGGCGAGCTCCGCGCCTTGATCATTCTGTCCTGTTGCGGTAGATTGAATTGAACACTTCTCTTTGCCTGTGGTGTCCATTGACGATTCTGGGTTGCTGCTGCTTGTTGGCAGACCAGAAGGTGATGAGGTCCCTTGCATCTGAAGCAGGTCCTTCCAGTTTGACAGTTGCGTGCATGATGTCCATCCCTGAGGCATCTGATGCATCTATTCATTTCTATGAGTCTTCTCAGTCGGTCCCTTGTAGTTGGGTAATTGCGGCAGCGGCTGGGCAAATGTCCTTGTTTAGCACACAGTGAGCATGTTCCTCGGTTGTATTGCCTTTGTTGATTCCATCGAGGCTGTGTAGCTGCGGCAAAAGATCTCACAATATCACGGGGTGGTGTCTGTTGAGGTTTCCTTTCCCTCTTGACATGAGTTGAATCATCCATTGAGTGTACACAGTGCAAAACTTCCTCCTTGAGACTGATGATTTCTTGCAGTTGCTTCAGTAGATCCTTGTGGGTCCATGGCCGACGAGATTCCTTTTCACGCGTTAGTAGTTCTCGCAGCACGCCAGAGGGTAGCTTGCTTCGGATCTGCAACATAGTTTGAGTTGAGTCAGGCGATTGTCCCTGCGACTCCAATTGATAGCATATTCTGTCCACTGTGTCCATAAAGTTGCGTAGTGATGATGATGCATCCGTTGCCCTCGGTAAGTGCATCAGTTCTGAGTACAAGTTGTCGATAAGTCTCTTTGAGTCTCCAAAACGGTCCTTCAAAATGTTGAGTACGTGCTGGTAGTTGGCGTCCGACGGTTCATAGTGTTCAATAGCTTTTCGTGCTGGTGAGTTGGCTGGCAGACACATCAGTAAGTAGGTGTGCTTCTGGAAGGTGGACAAAGTCGGTTGCTGATCAACTGCGACTGAAAATGCATTCCACCATGTTCTGTATCTGTGGGCTTCTCCGTCGAAGCGCGGTAGTTCCAATGTAGGTAGTCGGACGGCTTGTTGTACCACATTCGGTTGATTCACTTGTTGTGTGGGCAGCTGCTGGCCCTGGTGACCCTCCATAGTCAGGTTGATTAGTTCCACAATTCCTCTTGCTCTCTCGTGTAAGTCCATAAAGTGTTCATGCGGCAAATCCTGTTCAGCCTCAGGTTGCGGCGGAAAGTTGTCATAAAGTTCCTCTTCTGCTTGTAGAGCATTTTCTTCCAAGTTGTCCATGTGTTCCAGCCAACGAGTATTGAGTTCATTCACACGTTCCATTGACGATTCCAGTTGAGTTCTGACCACGCGAAGTCCATTAGTTGTTGCCTGATTGATCACTGGTTGATCCAAAAGTCCATTAGCATCTGTAATTCTGTCCCTCATAGTTCGCAAAACAGGAGCAATAGCACGGCGGATTGGTCCTGAAGACGGCATTTCTCTGCTGGTAGTCGACTGCAGTAAGTGGGAGTCGATTAGTTAAAGTAGGCTGCTGACAGTTGATTAGAGTCGACGCTGACAGTGGTCGATTAGTTGTCTCACACAGATATAGTAGTTGACGGTCGATTGCAGTTAACGACGGTCGATTGTAGTTTGCCCTGACGGTTGATTAGTTGACGGCTGCAGTGCCAACTATCGGTCGATTGCACACACCAGTGAAGTAGACTGATGAGCAAATTGAGTTGAACACACCAGTGGAGTGAAGCACCAAGCAAGTGATGAACACCCAGCAACTGATGTACAAATTGAGTTGATTGGCGACGGTTGTTGTTGTTGACCCGAGCTGCGCACTGACAATTGATGTGGGCGCAATTCCCGGCCGTTGCACCAATTTTTGTGGGCGAGGGATTTGTTGTCGAGGAACACAGGTCCGTTGAGGTCAGACCAGCCACGCGTTGTTCCAAGTTCCCTCGGCACAAAAAGGAAAGAGTTGTTTCGGCACGTGCAGTCGACTGTTGAACGGTCGACCAATTGTCCTTTCGGTCAATTGTAGTCGACTGCGAACAGTCGATTGTGTTGTTGTTGAAAGGGCGATTGCACAAAGAGCACGGCCAAAACTAGTCGACGGCCAAATAGTCGACTGTTGTTCGCTGGAAGGGCGATTGTTGAAAGAGCAGGCCAAATGTAGTCTGCTGAAGGTCGATTAAAATTTAATCGACCGTTGTCACCAAAAGCACTTGCAGGGCGATTGAACAAAGAGGAAAAGGGCGACTAAGCTCAAAGAAATAAAACAAGCAGCGAATAAAAATATTTATTTTCCAAAGGCAGCCAAATAATAATAAAAGCGAACGAACACAAATAAATCAATCGGAGGGGCAATAAAATAGAGTAAAAGGCACGTACAATTAGTTAAAGTAAAAGGGACACAAATAAATGTAAAACTGGGAGCAATGCGAACGAATGAACTGAACTGAATATAAGGTAAAGGCAAGTGCTTAAATAGTAGTCGGCTGGTCTAGCCTGGGGTGTGGCTTGTATTCCGACCAGCCGAAGAGAAAAAATGGGCGTGGTTAAAATGAGGGAGAAAGTTAAACAAAAAATAAAATAAAACCCAGAGGGGCCAAAAGATCAACGGAAAAAAGATCCCATCAAAAAAATAAAATAACAAAAAAAATAAAATAAAACCCAGAGGGGCCAAAAGATCAACGGAAAAAAGATCCCATCAGATTTGATGGGATCCCAAAAAGATCCCATCAAATCATTGTAAATTTTATGGACATTTTGTCCGTCTATTTTTCCAATTCCTTGGTTTAATTACCCAAGTTTAAGGTATGTATTCTATACTACTTGGGATAAATTTTGGAAATGTATTTCGAAAGAAATACTTAAAATTAAATTAAAATTTAAAAAGTTTTAAAAACTTTAAGCCAAAATTTTGAAAATAAACATTATTATAAAAGTATTTTCTATTGAGTATTGAAGAAGAAAAGAAAAAGAGAATGTGAAATACAACACATTTTCTCTAATGAATGAAAAAATTGATTAAATTTTAAATCCCATCAAATCATTGTAAATTTTATGGACATTTTGTCCGTCTATTTTTCCAATTCCTTGGTTTAATTACCCAAGTTTAAGGTATGTATTCTATACTACTTGGGATAAATTTTGGAAATGTATTTCGAAAGAAATACTTAAAATTAAATTAAAATTTAAAAAGTTTTAAAAACTTTAAGCCAAAATTTTGAAAATAAACATTATTATAAAAGTATTTTCTATTGAGTATTGAAGAAGAAAAGAAAAAGAGAATGTGAAATACAACACATTTTCTCTAATGAATGAAAAAAATTGATTAAATTTTAAATCCCATCAAATCATTGTAAATTTTATGGACATTTTGTCCGTCTATTTTTCCAATTCCTTGGTTTAATTACCCAAGTTTAAGGTATGTATTCTATACTACTTGGGATAAATTTTGGAAATGTATTTCGAAAGAAATACTTAAAATTAAATTAAAATTTAAAAAGTTTTAAAAACTTTAAGCCAAAATTTTGAAAATAAACATTATTATAAAAGTATTTTCTATTGAGTATTGAAGAAGAAAAGAAAAAGAGAATGTGAAATACAACACATTTTCTCTAATGAATGAAAAAAATTGATTAAATTTTAAATCCCATCAAATCATTGTAAACTTTATGGACATTTTGTCCGTCTATTTTTCCAATTCCTTGGTTTAATACCCAAGTTTAAGGTATGTATTCTATACTACTTGGGATAAATTTTGGAAATGTATTTCGAAAGAAATACTTAAAATTAAATTAAAATTTAAAAAGTTTTAAAAACTTTAAGCCAAAATTTTGAAAATAAACATTATTATAAAAGTATTTTCTATTGAGTATTGAAGAAGAAAAGAAAAAGAGAATGTGAAATACAACACATTTTCTCTAATGAATGAAAAAAATTGATTAAATTTTAAATCCCATCAAATCATTGTAAATTTTATGGACATTTTGTCCGTCTATTTTTCCAATTCCTTGGTTTAATTACCCAAGTTTAAGGTATGTATTCTATACTACTTGGGATAAATTTTGGAAATGTATTTCGAAAGAAATACTTAAAATTAAATTAAAATTTAAAAAGTTTTAAAAACTTTAAGCCAAAATTTTGAAAATAAACATTATTATAAAAGTATTTTCTATTGAGTATTGAAGAAGAAAAGAAAAAGAGAATGTGAAATACAACACATTTTCTCTAATGAATGAAAAAAATTGATTAAATTTTAAATCCCATCAAATCATTGTAAATTTTATGGACATTTTGTCCGTCTATTTTTCCAATTCCTTGGTTTAATTACCCAAGTTTAAGGTATGTATTCTATACTACTTGGGATAAATTTTGGAAATGTATTTCGAAAGAAATACTTAAAATTAAATTAAAATTTAAAAAGTTAGTAGTAAGTATCCACCCCATTTCGGGGGGAGGGGTCCGGTCAAACCAAAGGGTGTAGGGGGTTTCCGCCTAATTTTCTTTGATTTTGCCGACATTATCCTATGGGTGTAGGGGGTTTTCGGGGGATTTCCTTTGATAATTAGGCTGACTAATTGACCAATTAACACCTATTGAACAAATCCCTTTGTACTTTGCCGATACATCGAAGTCGGGGGAAGGGGCTAATTGACCAATTAGTACCTACTAATTAGTTTTCTTTTATATTAACGATGAATCGAAGGCGTGTGGGGGTAAGTGGTATACAAATTAGTGAATAATTAATTACTTTGTGCTAGACGATGGGCAAAATGGTCAACAACAACAACTTAAACCCATACAACTCTCTTTAGAGCTTTAAACTTAATAAGCGAAACGAGACAATGGCTAATTGTTTAAATTTTGTATAAATATTTTAAATTGTAAAACTTTTTATTTGGTTATTATAAACTTTTAAATTAGTAATTGTGTAATTTAACAGAGCCCTCTTTAATGTTGCCGAATGAAGTGCGCGAAAAATACAGTATTTTTTCCTTTATTTTAAGAAGAGAAGGTTAGAGACGCAGAACAGCAGTGTGACTCTATTTATCTCTTATATTTTATATAAATACTCAGTTCTCTTCTCTGTCTTGCAGTATTATGGATGGTCTAACAAGCCACTTGAGTCTGAGAAATAATTCAATAAAAAATCGTCACGGAGGGGTTTCGTACCTCAACCTTTGCAACATAAACCTTCAATCTAACCCAAACTCTTCCGAATGAGCTACCGCGACATGTAATAAAACCTCTGATATTTCGATGTGACTCAAGTTCCGAAGAAAATGATGAAGAGGAACTTTCATTGTGTGAGCTTAGTCTAGGTTGGTAATACACACACATCGGTACACACACCCTCCTAATACACATACCTAAAATATTTACTCTTAATTCAAAAGTTAAAATTTTTGATAAATTTGCTGCTCCTTTTTCTTAATTATGCTCTTTTACCCTAAAAATGATAGCTTCTCTTTTTTAAATCTGTTTTCTTTTAAAAATTGTAGCTTCTATTTCTTAATTATGCACTTTTACCCCTAAAAGTGACAACTTCTAATTCTTAATATTACTATTGATTTTTCTCTTGTTTAATTATGCTGTTTTACCCCTAAAATTGAACACTTTGCTCTCTTAATTTTGCTCCTAATTTTCGAAAAAAATAGAAATTTAAAATTTATTGCAATAAATAAAAATGAAATTAAAATAGTAACAATTATAATTATTAAAATTAGATATAAATTACAAAGGAGGCGAAATACGGGGACGAGTAGGATTTTGAATATGGCCAAAGTTTAATACAGAGAGAGTAGAAGGATTTACAATACCTTTACAAACAATAGGTTTATAAGATTTAAAAGAAGGCTGAGAGAAAACAGAGCCTAATTTAATAGAGGGTCTGATAGTATTAGGATATTTTATAATTATAGGATCAAAATCACCAGTTTTTCCAAATTTTAGCACTTTTTCTTTAAAAGTTTCATAGCGTAAGTCTTGGTTCTTCATGACGTCCCAGTTAAGAGTCATACCTCTAACCTTCAAGACATACTCAGGCTCAGTTTGTTGTTGTCCTTTCCTCCTTAGCTTTAGCCCATATTGCTTCGATCCTCCACAGCAAAACTCCATGATGTCGTGCGACGGGTACTCATCAGTAAACTCGCCAAGATGAGGGCCGAGCTGAAGAGGGCATGTATCTTCAGGATGCGAGAAGATGAGCGAGTCGGTGTCTAAAATTTTAAAGTATAAAGAGCAAATTTTATTGTAAAATACCTGTATAAAGAAGTGAGCAACCTGGACTGCGCACCACTTTTTGCATTGAGCGAAGCAGGTGAATTCTAGCAGCTGATGTCGTCCATAAAGACACAACTAAATTTAAAAAATATAATAATTCACAATTTTAGTTAAGAAAAGTTCACTTACCAACGTTAGAGCAGTCGTGCTCTTCGATCCAGTCCTTCTTTTTGATGTAGCGGAGAAGAAGAACA